TACACATGAGATTGCAATCCCAAACGAAAGAGAACAAAGTCCACCACCAGAAAAGAATTATGTATACGTATGCCCTTTCTGCGAAAAATTTATTACTACTTCAATTGCTTCCGGACATGTCGACCACCGACGCGTGTGCGGGAAACAATTTCGCGTGCAGGATGGAGTTCTTCGGCCGACAGCCCACTTTTCGCATACATGTCCTACTTGTGGAACCTGCGTCCAAAGCACCAAAGAATTTGGGCGAATCAAAAGCAAACACAAACAATCCAATGGTCGCGCGTGCCGCCGAACGGAATGGCATGCAAAGTAACAACAAAGAAGCTCGCAGCATGAAAACTTGCAACAAGAAAACAGGCTCGCAAATAATCACCTGCCGAAGAACCACAACATGCCCTGGAAATCACTTCCCGTGGAGAAAACACCAGGGCTCTGAATGGCTACTAGCTGCTAGCTGCTACTGGCGCTGGCTGCTGGCTACTAACTATGTGCACCTTTTGCGTGCTCTTGCCTAACGTGTCGTCTGACACCCTAGAAAAACACAATTTTTCGATAGATTCTGTTGCTGGCGGCTGCTAGCAGTAAAACAAGTTCGAAAAAATCACCTCCCGGGGGGAAAACACCAGGGCTCTGAAGGACGAGCGAGTGCCAGAACCACGCCAAAAAAATCCCTAACGTATCGTCTGAAATCCTAGAAAAATCTATCTAGATTTTTTGGTACGCTGCTGGCTACTGGCCGCTGGCTGCTACTGGCGCTGGCTGTTAGCTACTGGCTATATGCACCTTTTGCGTGTTCTTGCCTAACGTGTCGTCTGACACCCTAGAAAAACACAATTTTTCGATAGATTCTGTTGCTGGCGGCTGCTAGCAGTAAAACAGGTTCGAAAAAATCACCTCCCGGGGGGGAAACACCAGGGCTCTGAAGGACGAGCGTGTGCCAGAACCACGCCAAAAAAGTCCCTAACGTGTCGTCTGAAATCCTAGAAAAATCTAGATTTTTTGGTACGCTGCTGGCTACTGGCCGCTGGCTGCTACTGGCGCTGGCTGCTATAGCTACTGGCTATGTGCACCTTTTGTGTGCTCTTGCTTAACGTGTCGTCTGACACCCTAGAAAAACACAATTTTTCGATAAATTCTGTTGCTGGCGGCTGCTAGCAGTAAAACAGATTCGAAAAAATCACCTCCCGGGGGGGAAAACACCAGTGCTCTGAAGGACGAGCGAGTGCCAGAACCACGCCAAAAAAGTCCCTAACGTGTCGTCTGAAATCCTAGAAAAATTTATAGATTTAGATTTTTTGGTACGCTGCTGGCTACTGGCCGCTGGCTGCTACTGGCGCTGGCTGTTAGCTACTGGCTATGTGCACCTTTTGCGTGCTCTTGCCTAGCGTGTCGTCTGACGCCCTAGAAAAACACAATTTTTCGATAGATTCTGTTGCTGGCGGCTGCTAGCAGTAAAACAGGTTCGAAAAAATCACCTCCCGGGGGGGAAAACACCAGGGCTCTGAAGGACGAGCGAGTCCCGGAACCACGCCAAAAAAGTCCCTAACGTGTCGTCTGAAATCCTAGAAAAATCTAGATTTTTTGGTACGCTGCTGGCTACTGGCCGCTGGCTGCTACTGGCGCTGGCTGCTATAGCTACTGGCTATGTGCACCTTTTGCTAGCTACTGGCTATGTGCACCTTTTGCGTGCTCTTGCCTAACGTGTCGTCTGACACCCTAGAAAAACACAATTTTTCGATAAATTCTGTTGCTAGCGGCTGCTAGCAGTAAAACAGGTTCGAAAAAATCACCTCCCGGGGGGGAAAACACCAGGGCTCTGAAGAACGAGCGTGTGCCAGAACCACGCCAAAAAAGTCCCTAACGTGTCGTCTGAAATCCTAGAAAAATCTAGATTTTTTGGTGCGCTGCTGGCTACTGGCCGCTGGCTGCTACTGGCGCTGGCTGCTATAGCTACTGGCTATGTGCACCTTTTGCGTGCTCTTGCCTAACGTGTCGTCTGACACCCTAGAAAAACACAATTTTTCGATATAGATTCTGTTGCTGGCGGCTGCTCGCAGTAAAACAGGTTCGAAAAAAGCACCTCCCAGGGGGGAAAACACCAGGGCTCTGAAGGACGAGCGAGTGCCAGAACCACGCCAAAAAAGTCCCTAACGTGTCGTCTGAAATCCTAGAAAAATCTAGATTTTTGGGTACGCTGCTGGCTACTGGCCGCTGGCTGCTACTGGCGCTGGCTGCTAGCTACTGGCTATGTGCACCTTTTGCGTGCTCTTGCCTAACGTGTCGTCTGACACCCTAGAAAAACACAATTTTTCGATAGATTCTGTTGCTGGCGGCTGCTAGCAGTAAAACAGGTTCGAAAAAATCACCTCCCGGGGGGGAAAACACCAGGGCTCTGAAGGACGAGCGAGTGCCAGAACCACGCCAAAAAAGTCCCTAACGTGTCATCTGAAATCCTAGAAAAATCTAGATTTTTTGGTACCCTGCTGGCTACTGGCCGCTGGCTGCTACTGGCGCTGGCTGCTAGCTACTGGCTATGTGCACCTTTTGCGTGCTCTTGCCTAACGTGTCGTCTGACACCCTAGAAAAACACACTTTTTCGATAGATTCTGTTGCTGGCGGCTGCTAGCAGTAAAACAGGTTCGAAAAAATCACTTCCCGGGGGGGAAAACACCAGGGCTCTGAAGGACGAGCGAGTGCCAGAACCACGCCAAAAAAGTCCCTAACGCGTCGTCTGAAATCCTAGAAAAATTTATAGATTTAGATTTTTTGGCACGCTGCTGGCTACTGGCCGCTGGCTGCTACTGGCGCTGGCTGCTATAGCTACTGGCTATATACACCTTTTGCGTGCTCTTGCCTAACGTGTCGTCTGACTCCCTAGAAAAACACAATTTTTCGATAGATTCTGTTGCTGGCGGCTGCTAGCAGTAAAACAGGTTCGAAAAAATCACCTCCCGGGGGGGAAAACACCAGGGCTCTGAAGGACGAGCGAGTGCCAGAACCACGCCAAAAAAGTCCTAACGTGTCGTCTGAAATTTCTTTGGTACGCTGCTGGCTACCTGGCGCTGCTGGCTGGCTGCTACTGGTTCGTCTGGAAAAACTGCTAGCAGTAACGTGGCTGATGTGCACCTTCTTGGCGCTGCTGCTACTGGCCCACGTTCTTGACACCCATTGGTGCTATCCTAGAAAAACACAATTTTTCGTGCTGCCTAACGTCCCGTCTGAAATCCTAGAGAATCCTATATCCTATAGAAAATCCTAGATCTAGATCCTAGTTCGGGAATCCTAGCTGGGCCAGCTGTTTCGGCCGAATCCCCAAGAATCTCCTAAACAATATTATAGCTGGGCCTGCTGTTTGGAAACGGTTCCGAAACAGCAAAACACCACCTAATTTCGCGCCCAAAACGTAACACATGAACCCAAAAAAACTCACCTGCTGCTGCTGCTGCTGCTGTTGCTGCTGCTGACAGAAGAGTCGCAAGAGCACCTCCCGGCACCAAAACAGCAAGGCACGGAAGCATCAGCTCACCTGCTGCTGCTGCTGTTGCTGCTGCTAACAGAAGAGTAGCAAAAGCACCTCCCGGCACCAAAACAGCAAGGCACGGAAGGACGAACAGGCCCTAGAATCGCACCGAAAAACTGCCTAACGGCCCTTCTGAATTCCAAGAAAAAATGTCTTTTTCCCAACCGTTTCCGCTCTTTCAATCTCCCATCTGCTCACCTGCTGCTGCTGCTGTTGCTGCTGCTGACAGAAGAGTCGCAAGAGCACCTCCCGGCACCAAAACAGCAAGGCACGGAAGGACGAACAAGCCACAGAATCGCACCGAAAAACTGCCTACCGTCCCTTCTGAATTCCTAAGAAAAAAAAATATCTCTGTCTCTTTTTCCCAACCTTTTTGTCTCTGTCTCTTTTTCCCAACCTTTTCCGCTTTTTCAATCTCCCAGCAGCTCACCTACTGCTGCTGCTTCTGCTAACAGAAGAGTAGCAAGAGCACCTCCCGGCACCAAAACAGCAAGGCACGGAAGGACGAACAGGCCACAGAATCGCACCGAAAAACTGCCTAACATCCCTTCTGAATTCCTAGAAAAAATGTGTCTCTGTCTCTTTTTCCCAACCTTTTCCGCTTTAACGTCCCTTCTGAAACCCTATTAAAAATAGTCTTTTGCCAATACTCCGCCACACCCAAACACCATGGCAGTGAAGGACAGACGCGCCACCTTTTGCCAATTTTGCGAACCTTTTCCCGGTTTCGACCAATTTTTATACCACTGTTTGTACAATGAGACATAGAACCTCGAGGATGCGGCCTCGAACGAACAAATCAGAGCGGGAAGGGCAACCCAAGGAGCCCCACGTACCTCGAGGAGACTCCGGGAAGGACCCCCCACCGGTAAAGCAAAAACCCCGGAGTCAATGAATCGACGTACGTGACCGGTGGGAGGGGGACCCAACAGGGTCCCCCGGCAAAGGGTCATTGTTGTTGTTGTTGTTGTTCTTGTTCTTGTTGTTGTTGTTGTTGTTCTGCTGCTGCTGCTGCTACTGCTGCTGCTGCTGCTGCTGTTTCTATCTACTGTAGCTGCAGTAGTATAGTAGTAGTCGCAATGTCTTATTCCCTGGTGCGCTCCCCCTTGCGTCTGCCGGGGTTGTTGTGGTTGTTGTTGTTGTTGTTGTTGTTGTTGTTGTTGTTGTGGTTGTTGTGCTGCTGCTGCTGCTGCTGCTGTTTCTATCTACTGTAGCTGCAGTAGTATAGTAGTAGTCGCAATGTCTTATTCCCTGGCGCGCTCCCCCTTGCGTCTGCCGGGGTCGGCGGATATGTCTATGTTGATTTACTGGATTAGTTGGATTTATATGGGGGTACAAGTTGATCCAAACATATTCAAATGTCATCCATATTAATCCAAGTGCATATATATAAATTCCAAATTAATCCATATCGCAACCCATATCTTCCCCCATAAAATTTCCCCTGCTGGCTCCATGAAGTGATTTGTGTCCTACATCTAGGCACCTCCGCGGCTGCCGATGCAGTAGCACTGTTGGTGTCGTCAGCAGGCTGCGAGGCGCACTTGCACTTGGGCGACATGGCATAGGAATGGATAGGAGGCATTTAATCTTGACCATCTTCGATATCTGGGTCAAGCTGCAACTCTTGGTACAGCTTGTATTCACTGAGAATTTTTAGGATTCACTGAGAATTTTGGGCATTTGTTCACTTTATTTGGACTTGGTGCCCAAGAAAAGACTGCAAGAAATCAGAGTTTGCATGTGTTCGCCAGGCGGCCAATGGGATCTACCAGGCTGTCACCTCTGCAACACACGGACCAGCCGCCATTTGTTGTCTGTATTGAAAGAGCGTGGAAATAGCTCAAACATGATATACAATTGTATATGTAAGCAAATAGTACATGACGATATGTAAAACAGTAATACATAGTACATGCATACAATCTGTTTCCGAAGATTTCGATGACTTGGTGATTCGAACACCTCGAACACCTGGACTTCCAGACGTCGCCCATCTTGGGGAAACTCCAGGCGTCGCCCGCGGCGAAGGTGGTGTTTCAGCACCTAAGCTCTGCAGGCCAGGGATGCTGGTGCCATGAAGCTAGATATCACATGGATGGAGGCCTTTAAAACATTTTAAAACAATTTCATGGGTATTAAAGATAGTCTAGAGACATCTAGAGACTAATGGACTCATAGACTGTAGACTGGAGACCATAGCCTATAATTATTGATTCTTGATTCTTGATTATTAGTATTGATGATTATTAGTATTGATGATGATGATGATGATGATGACGATGATGACGATGATGACGATGACGACCAACCTTGCGTAGCTTTTGAGTGGGTTGGGATCGTTCGGTGGTAACATTGCAACCATCAGTGCAGATTGTGATGAATCCAATCTAGACGGAGTGGTTTCCATTTCCATCGCCGATGAAGTTCCCACAAGTCACCTGGGGTATGCCTGGAGGCTTCAAAATCTTCCGAGATGAACAGGTTCTTCCAAATGGCAAAGCCACTTGGTAGCGATGTCCATAGGGCCATGACGACCAAACTGCGACGAGGGGTCAATCTGTTGTGTATTATGCCATATAGATCCACAGGGCTCATATGAATATACACCTATATAGTAGTATGTATATATATAATATACATATATATATATAATATATACATATATATATAAATATGTATATATAAAGTAGCTGATTTCTTTTATCTGAGAGGGCTAGAGACAAGATCTTGAAGTGGTGTCAGAGTCCACCCTTTAAACCCACCCAATACGGCAGCAGTCTGCGCCAGCTGACCTGCTGGGCTGACACCCTCCTGGACAGGTCAAGCATGGCTGGTTGCTCAGTGGCCAGGGCGAGCCGCTCTATGGGCTTCCATCAGATCCATGGCAGAAGTTGATGCTGTTGTGACTGTAAATTTAGGCGCTGTTGGTTGGATTTGGGCTCACTTTAAAAGGAGTTTGTGCACTGAAAGCCACTGAAAGCTGGCCTCAAGTTGGCAGAGGAAATTTTGAAAGCACTGAGCCATTTTTCATCATTTTTCCAGATGTGCAGCTGTGGAAGCTTTGCTCTCCTGGATGTTTGGCGATGAACTCACACCCCAGATGCCAGTCGTCCAATCGTTTTTTCCGGGAACCATCCACAAGGAGAGCCTCAGCGTGCCACTGGCTGCCGCATGGCGATGCTACAAGGTACAAAAATGGATAGCCGAAGACTTCATGAGGTTTCCAATAAAAATGATCTACCCTCTGGTAATTTAACATAGCTATTGAAAATGACTATTTATAGTGGATTTTCCCATTAAAAATTGTGATTTTCCATAGTTATGTTAGTTTACCAGAGGGTAATATTGATGATTTTTACCTGGCAATACGTATGTGTCAAAACAAACCAATGTCGGGTTGCAAGCTACGGAGCGATAGTTTTGTTGGAACTACAGTAGTAGAAACATGTTGAACATTGTTTTGAAAGATGATAACTTTGGGAATCTATGGGGCCCCCATGGACATCACAGGCCCCCGCGCCTGCGCCACGTTTCCGTGCCTTCAAGGTGGGTGCTTGGAAGTCAGTGAAGAGTTGGAATTTTAGGGTGCCTCTGCAACTGGGGTAATTATACTCCCAAAAAACATCAAATAACTAGTTTGACATATTTTAAGGGGGAAAATGAATGAACATGATAGAACATGATGATAAACCACTGGATTACCCTACTTTCAGAATCTTTCAGACACATCCACATGTGGCATCACACACTTTCCAGGGTTGTTGGAGCCTTGCAGCTTCCCGCAGGCAGTTGCTGAGGCTGTCTACCAGGTTGTAGACGATGCCGAGGTGGGTGCTGGAGGGATTTTGGATGGAGCCAGTAGAATTTGATCCATGATTGAATAGGGATCGTGGATAGCATATGTTGAAACAAGTCTAGAAGGCAACTTGATATATGAACTTGACAATCATGGAGACTAATTGTATCACTTTTTGTACCAAGACAGTCTACGTTTGAAGTTGCTGACTTCCAAGTGATGACCGCCATGAGTGACTCGCGAGGTTGCAACCAAAGAAGCCTTCAAGGCGGAGGAGACTCTGTGATGAGCGTGAGGGATTGCAACATTTATAGGCTAAAAGGGCTTGACATGGCTTGAGTTTCCAAGTTTTCCAGACTTTTTTGTAAGTTTTTGATGGATGGCAAATGGCATCCGCATCCATGCAGTTCAAACCAGGAGTGGGAAATGGCCCGTCGGTTCCTGAGAGAGATTTAGTGATTAGTTCGCTTGCGAACTGCTGCGAAAGCTGCGACTGATACGAGCTTGAGCGATTTTTTACATGGTTTTTACATGGTTTTTCTCCCAATTCTTTTCGGTGGATAAAAAGCTGGGATATGAGATTCTGGTTGGTTTGAGATGGGTTTTTCGTTGTTAGTTCCCCCATGTTCCAATCTCACAGAGGTCATGTCAGAGAAATTCTCATCCGGCGCTAAGGTCAGCACTGCGTGGCAGCCCTCGAAGCTCTGTCCAGGGCCAACCAACGCTTTGGCGAGGCATTTGAGGTCGGCCTTGGGTTCGGTCTGCGAAGATCTGCGAAGCATCTCACCAACCATGGCTTCATGGCTTCAAAATTGATCCTTAAAATCGTTCAGGGAAACACCATCCAATCCATCCAAAAACATCAGCCTGGGAATGCTTCAAAAAAATCGGACCCAATGGCTTCAGGTGCGGGCCACACGAATCTTCAGCCTCCGTTCCGAGGCGGAGCTGCAAATGAGGCTGGTGTGAAACCGACAAAAGCTGTGGGAAATTCGACATGTTTTCCCAGTGATTCCCAGTTTTTCCAGATTGAGTTGTTTGAGTCTTACAGAGCTTACAGAGGATTTTTACATGGAGTCAGTTGACGTTTGAGATATGGAAATAAGACTAGACATTACTAGACATTACTACCTTCCAGTTCATGACAGGAATGTCGCTGCAGCTTTGACCCATGCGGTTGCGGCGCTGGAGATTTCGCCTGGTTTTTTGGCACCTGGGGAAGTGGGATTTTTTCCACCCAGCAGCGCTGGAAGATGGGATTTTTATAGAGAGAATCATCTCAGGTCAGAGCATCAAACAATTTCAGAAACACAATTTTTCACAATTTTCAGGTCATCCAGTGATCGATTTTCAATGATTTTCATATATTTTCATGATAGAATTGACTTTCCAAGGCCTTCCATTCCGGAATCCATGAGCTTTTCCCTCCCAGGTGATGCCATGGCGAAAGCCGCGGCGCTTTCCGCAGCCAAAGACTTGGGCGATGCCAAAGAGGTGGAGGAGTTGCTACAGGCGGGGCGACAGCTGTCACGGGTAATCGTGGCTTGGAAAGTCAGGAATTTTCGTCCATTGAAACCCTGAAACGGATCAGGGATGGACTAATCACCATCTGGTTATGACGTTCACAGTTCGCCATGGAAAGATCCACGGTTTATTTTTAAGTTCGGTCAACATCGGTAAACCATCTATTTCGATTAGGGCCATCTATCCCATGGCGAACTGTTACCCTCTGGTAAACGTTCACATAGCTATTGGAAAGATCCACTATGTTCAATGGGAAAATCCACTATAAAACTATTTCTATGGTCATTTTCAATAGCTACGTTAAATTACCAGAGGGTATCCCATGGCGAACTGTGAACGTCATGAGGGTAGGTCACCACAGGATTCTCAATGGGATGATCCTCCGGTACTCCGAGGCCGTTGGCTGCGGAGAGATCTTGGACCGCTGCGCGCCACTGAGCCTTCGGCCGGTGGAGAGGCGGCTGGTGGTGCCTTGTTGCAGCTGGAGCCAGCTGGCCGATACAATAGGAATGTCAGGCGAACTGGTTGAAACAGAAACACCATATCAAATCATCAAGAATCTGAATCTCAGTTTGATGACAGTATGACAGATATGACAGTTGCTTCTATTTTGGTTTCCTTAGCTGTGCTACATGCCATTTCATTTTCGATGACCGCCGTGCAGGTGGGTCGACGAGGTCTTCCGTGTGGCTGCCACACGGGCTGCCTATCGTCGACGCTGGGACCTTGGGGATGAAGGGGGGATGGGATAATAGACATGTCAAAAAGATAGCTGGCAACATTTAAAATGAACTATTCAAAAAACTTTGACAGCTTCTTGACAGCTTCTTAAGTTGGCCATTTGGCCTCAAAAGCTGTGGGTTCAGGAAGGATACTCTGTAACTTTGGTGCTTCCTGCCTGAGTGACACATTTGGTGCTTCCTGCCAAAGTGAAGTAGAAGTTCTACCTCACCAGCAAAGTTGCAATGAAAGATCTCATTGTGCAGGAAAATTGTCACCAACTTTTGCAACTATCGTATTGAAACGTCTCAAAAGTGGGTAGCCTTTTCTCTTTCCTGCAACTGCAGTGGCCGACAATTCACTTCATATGCCTCCGAGGGCAAGAGCAATTGGGGTCTTTGGCCGATGATCTGTTGGAGGACCAATGGCGGAGTGGATGCCACCAGAGGAAGGGTCAACGTCTTGGTATGTGTCAAATTGGATACCCGGTGCCCCATACAATGGACCAACATATCCGTTTTGATCCATATCCATCTGAATTTCAGTGGTTCCATAATTTCCGTGCAGCACAAGGAGAGTGATGAGGTTGATGAGGATCAAAATGAACCGCCGAATTTTCAAGTGGAGGCCTTGCGAGAGAACGAGGAGGCGGGAAATTCACAACAAAACATAACAAAAGCAGATTTTGCTACGCATAGGATCTTGTTTTTTTTTTTTTTTAAATGATTTGTGCTAGATACTGGTAGGGTAGCTGCCAGTCAAAATATATAGCCCCGAAATTAGTAGTTCGACCAACATCCAACACCAACCTATATTGTACTTGTATTTGGGATGTTCGTCAGCATACCGCTGTGAAACTTTGTTGCGGATAGGTTCGTCAAATCAACCGACATCCTGTTTTGTGAATATCTCACAAATCGATCTAAGAGAGTCTGGGATTTCTCAGTCAGTGACCACGGCCGGTAGTGGAGGTGACTGATGCCTTTCATAGCGGCTTCACTGCATGGGCCGGTTTTCGATCCGAAGAGATGCAGGACATCATTAGTATTTTGGTGGGGTGGATGAGTGCCAATGCCAACCCATACCCATCCATACCCATCCATACCCCATCCATACCCATCCAATGGGGGTTCCGAAAACCCCAAAGACCTGCAATTTTTGAAGCCAGGAGCCGTTGCTGTTCCACGAGTGGAGCCTTTGGCTAGGTGGCCAACAGTCTGTGATGAACTGGCGCTTTACGGCCCGGCGGAAGGTGCGAGCCGAGACCACGAAGAAACCACTGGGTATGTTCAGCAATGGAAAACCCTTAATCATCTTAATCCATATTGGTCAATCATTGTTCTACATTTTTACATGACCAACAACTTAGGGCTGGGTACACGGGTACACTGTATGTTGTTTTGCACATTTTCTGTCCTTCATGGGGCAGATCATGCTGACCCGATGCCAAGTGACAGCTGTGGCATTCTGCGGCCCCAGGGGCTGAAGTTGGCATCGGACTCAGAGATGGAGTGCTTTGATCAGCTTTCGCCGCGCTCGCAACGGAGGTGGGCTTGAAATGGTCGTTCTGTGGCTATGCTACTGGATGTTACTGGGAAGCCGCATCTAAAACAGAGGACAAGGTGTTACTGGGAGTTGACAGAGTCAAGATCTGCAAGTTGGATAAGTTGGATATTTTCTAGTTGAAGATGGGCAGATTTGTTTTCAGCGACAAAAAAGACGTACAAACATCATAAAATAACTGGTGGTCTTTCCCTATAGTACCTATAGCTTTCCAGAAGACTCATGGTGGTTACCTATTCCTTCGCTGCTTCGCTGATCAGGTGGGCTGTAGAGAAGTTAGTGGCTGCCTATGAAGCTGCAGGGCGACCTGCACAGGCCTGGACAGGGATGATTTTACTGCGATGTGCCGAACGCTAAGGTCGAAGCTCAGTTCTAATTTTTTGCATGGGAATTTTTAAAATAAAATACATAAAAATAACCTTTGACATCCTTTGACATTTTTATAAAAAATAATAAAAATGGAAAATATTAATTTATTTGTTTGAATGAATGTTAAATCGAGAGCAGCATTATTATTGATGTTTATAATTACTTCTTTATTTATTTTTGCATCCCCTAAGTCTTTTTTGCTTGAAACAAGTGAGGGGAAAGCAGCTGTTGACTGCTCAAGCTCATGAATGTTAAGTCCTTGATGACGTGCGTACCAGTACGTAAAATTATCACGGAACAACTTGTCAAGCTGGCAGTCGGAAGTCTCGGCAGTGTGGTTTAAGATCATTATCGATAAAATCCCATTCTTGTTGGTTGAATCCCATTTACTGGATTTAGCCAATTTTCTCACAGCTAGCAGCTAGTAAATGGCCCTTTAGGACTTGGATCTAGCTCAGGAGCTGCCATACCACAAGACCCCCTGCTGTGATGCAGATCTCATCTTGAACCAGGTTGGGGGGGCGACTCCAAGCATCTTCCGTTGAAGCATTGGGGGGGTACGTGGGTAGCCCAATTTGGAGTGGCCTACTGCTCAAAAGATCAGACAAGATCATTCCATTGATGCCTTTAGAGTTTGACCTTCACCAACAATATGTGTGATGTGAAGGTGCCGGTCATGGAAAGCTGCGGAACGCTGGTTTGATGTGCCTGGCAGGTCAGCCACAATGTGCCAAGCTTGAAGGGCGTGAAGTGGCGGTGAAAATCAAGAGCTTGTTGCTGGATCCAACGATTTGCCACCCCACAAGGAAGATGATTGAACACATATTGAAATGTATTGAACCAGTCTGCTACTAGAACTTGAGTTCTTCTTGTTCTTGGCCTGGGGCCTAGGGCCTGGGGGCTTTGTCAGGGAACGTTGCACCTCCAAGACTCAAGATTCCAGCAATTCCAGCAATTCCAGCAGTCCAATCAACAACCGAATCTCCAAGAAAATCGCCTGCGACAGGTCAACTGCCTCAGCCTCTGACCCCACTGCCTCCACGACTACTGCAGCCACGCCGGCCACACCTGCCACATCGGACGCAGCGGGGGATCTGGCGGCCGCTGCGGCCGCCGCAGCCGATCCGGCCGCGGGGACCCCGGCGTCACCGGTAAAGAACGGCGTGACGGAGAAGTTGTTGGAGAAACCGCTGGACGAGGAGAGATGACAGGGTGATGATGCACATAAATAATATACACATACAATCATAGATAGATAGATAGATAGATAGATAAGATAAGATAAGATAAGATAAGATAGATAGATAGATAGATAGGATAGGATAGGATAGGATTGGATTGGATTAGATTAGAATAGATAGATAGATAGATAAATAGATAGATAGATAGATAGATAGGCCGGTAGGTAGGTAGATAGGTAGATAGACAGACAGACAGACAGACAGATACTGTAGATAGAAAGATAGAAAGATAGATTAGACAGATATCAACATACAGGTGCACACGCCTGCACACGCTTGGTGGTTACCTCGACAGATCCATGTCTCCCGATAACCCACGCACCATTACGCACCTGTAAATGCTGTAGTGTTCGAGTGGTGACCGTGAAGGGTCTTTTGAGTGCTTCAGAGTGCACAATTTGAGGACTCCACTTATCCATGAGTTGATTGTTTGAGGAGAAACCAGGAGAAAAATCATCAAACATCCAGTGGTTCCTCATTGGAAACGAAACTGCAGCGCTTGGCAGGAACTGGAAATCACATTTGGTACCGGCGGACTGGCCTTGCCGAAATTTGGTGCTGAGAAAAGACCGGGCGGTGAGGCACCAAGCAGCTGATGCGCACGCGCCATTGATCGCCTTTGGCTTCATGAAGCCCTGGTGAAAGCAACCCGGAGGAAATGAGGGAAAGGTGGTTCGGAGTGTTGCGAATCAGTTTTTTATTTCGGTTCAGAATTGGACTGGTGATTTTGGGTAGTGGACCATACCGATACCGCTGGGCGGCGATCCACAAATTTCACCATTTCCTCATGATGTGCTTTGAAAAATTAGTCAGGCCGAGATGGTGTCAAGTTGCAACCTACTTTCCATTGCTTTGGACTGGAAGAGTAAGGCTGTTTCCCTCAAGTGGCACTCCCGGCCACGTGCACTGCCATCTAGCCTGCAATCACAGTGGATTTTTCAAGACAATGCGTCCGCACGATGTCTGCGCTTCGGTTTCGACAGAAAAAGAATTGCTTCCTTTGCTTGGCTTGAACATAAAAACGAATTTTCTTTTATTGCAGACTAAGCCAGACCCAAATGGATCAGAACACCTTTGACTTCCTGTAGGTCCATTAGGCCCTCTTACACTCAAACCAGGGCATCTTAACACTGGGACTGTGTGAAGTGGCAGAATTTGGAAGTCCGTATCAAATAACCAGCGCTATTGCTTCGAGTTGTTTTTCGCATCCTAATGCAGGAATTAGGAGTGATACTCGTAGTGAGGAAACTGATTTCTATCCGCAACTATAATTTTTATAATATATGGCAGATAGCAAACAACAGAATTAATATATATGATATTATGATTGATATCATTCGAAAAATACATTTGAACATATATATATATAATTATATATATATACACGTATATAAATTATATATTTCTAAGAGTATATTAAAAACACACACACACACATCTATCATAATATCCATATAATCAAAAACCAAATAAACTATATCTAAACAAATGAATAAACATACATATATGGTCTTTTTGTCTTTCATAGACAAAGATAACAGCACCTCTTTCTGCGTGAGCTGCTTTATTCATCTATGTGCTTCCCACTTTTGACTCGCGCATTCCTTTATGGTAGGGTTGGGTCTCTAGGGTGTGGGCCGTTCCAGCTTTAATGAGTCATGGAAACTTGCCCGTTTTCCGTGCGCTAAAGACAGTGTGTGTGTGTGCGTGTGTGTACCTCGGCCATTGTCAAGTTTTTGCTGCAAATATTACATGCATCCAGCTTTCCAAGAACTAGCCATGATTTAGCTAAACAGGAATCTCTGCAAGGCATAAAAAGGGTACAACTTCTCGTTGCAAAGCAAAACTCCAGACAACAACAGCGACGGAAGTACCAGCCTTGGCCATACACAGTTGGAACATGTGGGAAATGCAAAGTGGATTGTTCATGATTGCTCCCTTTAATGAACATCCACAATTTTGGTTTGAAGGTGCTGTCATATTACTCTGCCATACGTGCAACCTTATCTCCTGAGCCCTGAAATCACTGAAGAGTGGCTATGGCAGCAAGACATTGCCGCAGTAGTCATGTACCTGTGCTGTCCTCAGTTTTTTTGAGGTACTGTGGATACGGATGGATACGGGGTCAACCTTGATTTGGTCCGTTGCTTTTGTTGGCGAGAAGCTGGGATAAACACTGACCAGGTCAAGCTGGTAATCTTTGGAATGTAGAGGGATTCTTCCAATTTTTTCAGCTTGGATACCCTGAAGTCGTCGTAGGCCCGCCGAACGGGCACGTTTGCGACATTCGCCATGCCCCCAGCGGTGGAGGGCTCCAAATCACCCACGAAGAAACGCTGTTTTTGGGCACCAGGAAGTTTAAAATCAATCTTCGAGGGTCAAACAAGTACGTAGTAATATTGAACATCATCTAACATCATTAGTATACCATCATGTAACATGATCTAACATCATCCAACCTACTATTTTTGAACCATTATTTTTCGTCATGGTTTCCATCAATTCGCTGGTTTTCTCACCAGGACCTTTCCGCTTGGTTCTGGCCCAGGCAACATCCCTTTTGACGCTTGCAGTGCTACGAGGACCACCGAATGCCAAGGGTACGTCATACTTTTCAGGGGGAACACAATTAAGGCTAAGGAGCAACAAATGATGGGACAAACCATGGAAAATGTTGGGTGTAAACAAAAAAAACTACAAACCCACAGAACTTAAGAGCCGGATCTTTCCTGTTGAAACCAGGTGAAACAGCTAAGCAGTTTGGATTTTCAGGATGAACCGTGCTTTTGATGATTTTTGAAATATGTTATTTAGATAATCTTGAGTTTGAAATTTGAAATGCTAGTTTTTTTTGATCACCAGACCATCACCAGACTCCTCTGTCCTCTGAGGACTTGGACTTTCAGCCTTCCTGGGGGCTTCGGGAGGTGGGCAAAGTGATGGGTCGGGTGCAAGGCCATCCGCCCTGAAAAATTTTGATTGCTGCAGGCGATGCTGATCCTTCGACGCCCGGAACCTCAGGGTAAGATCGGAAGAGCATGGCAATGGAATGTGATTTATGTGATTCACATATGGCTATGGATCAATACCTATTAATTCCTATTAATACCATTTTTAGGGGGATGAACATCCATTTTAACCCAGCTATTTTGATGTGAACTACAGGGGTACAAGGTTTTGACACACTGCCATATATTTACATACATTTTAAACCACTTACCACCATATGTAACATACCATCATCAACCATCATCAACCATCATGATTCACCATAATTCACCAGCATTTCCTCAATGATTTGGTCAGAGTCAGGATCCGGCCCCTGACTGGACGCCGCCTTCTTCTTCAGGAGCACTGACTAAGTGGGTTTGGGTAAAAAAAAGCTGGGATTTAGATGCATATCATATAGATGCTCATCCCCCAAAATATGGCGAAAAACAAGGGGTTTCACAGGCATTGACCCTGTCCCAGCGTCATGACATGGACATGCTGCATTCTGTGGCCCGAAATGTTGAGGCACTGAAGAATTATTGAATACTTCATGGCATTTGGCTACCAACGTCCAACCCGCATTGGTCAGGAATCTGCATTGGCAGGGACTGCAGCACTGTGGGCCTTGCAGCCTGAAGAAGCAGAAGCCTTCAGGCAGAAATTGCATCATTTTGTCTGGGTGGTTTCCCTGCATGGCATGGGGCATTCGGTCAATCTCAAGCATTCCCAACTCTAAGAAATCGAGGGTCTATATATTTCCATCAGATCATTGACTTGAAAATGTCAGGATTTTTTCAAAATGGGGATCCTGGGGATCCTGGCAGATGTCAGGCAGGATCGGATCTTCAATGCCAAGCAAACCTTGGTTCCGAAGATCCGACGCTTGGCTGAAAGAGACCTGAGACGACCTTCCAGTAGTGCCTTGGCCCAGCGCCACCACAGATTCACTGAGGAAAGTACTACCAGAAGCTTGAAGGTCGGCTGCCAAGAAAAACCAGCTACCAACATCCACCAACTTAGGGTTCTGGGCCAATTTGGATCGACCTGCTAAGGGTTGAGAGATGACCTGATCTTGCAGGTGGAGTTAGAGGTGGGACAGCTGCTGAGTTTGTGTGAAAAAGGATGAAAGAGGTCACACCAAGGCAACTTGGAGCGTGGAGGTTTGAAAGGAATCTCGCATGAAGAAACTAGCACAATCATTGACATTATGCACCGTTAATTGGCAGTTTTGTGTTCAATATCTCCTTGTAGCTATTGGTCTTTATCTCCAGCCCCCAAATCATCCAACCAGATGCCATGGAGGCTGGTAACCGCGTGGACTTCCGCGTCAGGGCAGCTCAGAAACACAAAAATTCTTTGGATGGGTCGAAAAAATATGGGTTTCCCGTCAGGTGCCCTCCATTTTTTCTATGGGAAAAGCTGCACCTTTCCCACGCAAGGATTCCCCCCTGAGGCACGGCCCGCGGAGTGGTGGTCTGGCATTGACTCCAAGTTCGATGGGCCACTTGGCGGAGCTGAGAGGAGTTGAACATTCCAGCTGTGATGGGGAGCTATGTGCATAGCTGGAAGGATTCACCATCTATGATCATATTATATATATATAACATTATATAACTATATATAACATTATATAACTATATATAACTATATATATATACACCATTATATATATATATACATACATATAGACATGTATTTCCAAGTTATTTTTGGAAGCGTGTGCGGAACCACTGAAGGTTGCTCGTCCATCAGCAGGGGTACCATGGAATCATAAAGTCACGAAGTTCTTTCCCCCCAAGAAAGGCGTGGAGACGATCGATCACCTATAATATTCTATAAATTATAAACATCTATAAACCAAAGATCCATTTGCAGTTTTTTTCTTTCAAAAACAACACAATCTATAAAACAATATTATTCCAATATATCAAGCAATATTATGGATGATAAGTACATCTATGTTAGGAGTAATATATGCCATGTTTTTCAAAAAATATATCATCAACAATAAACAAGTACAGTATAATTTCCAATCTTGAAGGAACTGAGGACTTCATCCCTCCATCTGCCAGGTATTTGGTCAGTCCAGGCGTTCTAGATGCGCGCTATGGTTGCACACCCTATACTGTTCAGGTGGGCTGAGGGCTGGGGTTTCTCATGGGTTTCTATTTGGCATTCTGTTTTGATTGCTGTGTGTTTCTGCTTCTTTGTTTTTTTGCTTTTACCATTTTTCTCCTTCTTTGCCTTCTTTTCTGCTTTCGTTGCTTTTTGCTCTCTTTGCCTTTTCCCCCTTTTTGATGCTGTTTCACCGCTTTGCTGCTTTCTTCCTTCCGCGCTTTCCTGCTGCTTGGCCTTTGTGCTTTCATCTCCTGCTTCTCTCTTTTTTAACTTTTATGCTCTCATGTTTTCCTGCGTTTGTTCCGTAATGCTAATCTGTTTTCTTTGCTTAATTAAGCATCTTTGTTTTCACTACTTTCCTGTTCTTGTACTTTGTTGCAAGTACACTTACAGCTGCAACAAGAACAGCAAGAACAAGAAAAGCAACAACAACTAGAGCAGCAACCACAGCAAGAACAACAAGAGTAACAGACCAACAAAAGCAACAAGAACAACCGAAACCGCAAAGAAGCAACAAGACTAGAAAGTTGTCTTTGCGTTCTTTGGGGGGAGGCACATGGGGGGAAGCGCTGTGCCCTCCCGCCCATGCCCCCCTACAGTTGTTTCTCTTTTGGTCTATGTTGTTGTTTCGTGTTCTGATTTTGACCTTTTTCATGTCTTTGCTTGGTGCAAAGACCATGGGGCCCAGAAAGGGTAACATGTACTGTAAATGAACTGGTCAACAAGTCAAGGTTTCACAATGCTTCAAATATCAGCAAAAATGCAAGGTCGAAACTCCACAATGTCTCATACAAAACGGAAGGTTAAAGTCTCTCAATGCTGCGTATACTGTGCAAGATAGGAAGGTCGAAATTCCACAATACGACATATTCCACGCAAAATGGAAGGTTCAAGTTAATTCAAGTTCCAAAATTCTGAATGACGGCATGGCGCTTCAAATGAGCAGCCAAGTGGTACCTAAGGTCTAGAAGTCTAGATGTTCTAGATTAGAGATTCAAGATCGACAAAAACTTTTCTGGCTGGCGATGTTGAACCATGTTGAAGCCAAAATGGCTTCTCCCCCAACATGCAGAATGGCCATGAAAGAACGGTTGAGCAAAAACGTGTAGAGCTCCCCAAAGGTAGCTTTTGAAAACCGCTGGATCTGATGGTACTTAGATGTACCCTCTGGTAATTTGTTACATAGCTATTGGAAATGACCATAGAAATAGTGGATTTTCCCATTGAAAATGGTGGATCTTTCCATAGCTACGTTAAAGTGCTACCGCTGTGCCTCCAGTCCGGTGGTGTGGCACTGGTGGCTCGTGGGATTTGCAGCTTCGCGCAGAAGGCGTGGGATGTGCCAAGGAGGGACCTAAGAATCACTATAAACCTCAACTGCTATAAATTCATATAAATTGGTGATATGTTAACTCAAAACCGAGGCATTTGAACATATTTGAACTATTTAGACCCCTTTTTGTTGCAGGCTGCTGTTTTTTTTATCCCTGTTTGATCTTCTATGATTCGTTGGCGCCCAGCACCTGGAGGTTCAGATGGCCCAGGCTGCAGGGGCCAAGTCCATTATCGTTTTCGATGAAAAAATGTCCAAGGCGCCCTTGGAACAGCAGAACAAGTCAGGGACACTCAGTGGACAAGACCGCCATTGACTTTTCGGGTTTGGGGCCTTGCAACATGTTTTAAGATGTTTATGATGTTGAAGGTGTTTTTGTAGTCTTTGGCAAAACACACAAACATCACAAACAGCTGGGAAGAACGGTTTTCCACTGTCAGGGTTCAAAGCAACCAGCAACGGGAAATTTGGATCCCGTAAAAACCCACAAGGACTGGCCGCGTGATCAGCAAGGGCATCGCGACCTACCAGGCTCGGCAATCGCCCAGGGATGAGCCTGGCTTCAGATCACACAGCAAGGCCAGTGTCAATGACTTAGTCAGTGGTTCTTGATTTTGTAAAAAATCGAAAAACATCCTTGGTTTTTACTTAATTGAATTATATAATTAGTCTTTACTATCTTTACATCTTTACTTGGTCGATATTTAGTCATGTTTTCTACATAGATGTTCGGATGGAGTGAAGGTTTGGGTCCAAATTTTCCCTTTGCAGGCTGGCGATGCGCTCAGTGGTGTCAAACTGGCTGATTTTGCTGTAGCAGTGCTGTAGGTATATTCTTTATGAACCTTCAGAGTACCTGAACATCAGAAATGGCTGCTGTCAAGACTAAACACCTCCCCCAAACAATCCAAATAGGCATTGAAGATCATTAAAGAACATCCGGAGTACCACAACCTCCTGCTTATGTTTTGTACTTTCTCGTATTCCCTTGAATACGAGAAGTTTTTCAGCCACCGCCGTGTGAGCCAGGCTGCTACTGTTCCTGTCGAGAAGGGCATGACCATCATGAGCGGCTTCACCTTGATAGTGTCCATTTTTGAACCACTTCGAGGCATTTTGGGGAAACTGCGAAGGTGAAACCTAGGTGGATAACTGACCAGATCTCTCCAGAGTTGGATTGTTACATTGTTACAGCAATCATTATATTGCAATACATGGGTTCGGGTTCGAGGCACATCTAGAGGACCCTTTCATTATTGATTCGCTGCCGAAGAATCAAAGGCACGTCTTCCCCAAGGCTTCCCTGCAGAAGTGGGCAAGCCCGAGGTGGATGGTGCGATGCGCGGCCGGCCCAGATTTTGGGGGTCAGGGACCAGATGGGACCAGGGAAGTGGTGCTAGCAACAGCGACCAGATTTGATTGAGCAAAACTGGAAGACGTCACCAGAACCTGCTTGGGAGACTTCTTTCTCTTGCTGCTCCGATGTCATATCTGGAGGTCACACTGCTTGGGAATTAAGAGATGTAATCAACATTCATTTGGGTTTGTCTGAAAATAGCGTACTTCTCAGTGATTCATGATCATTTTACCCTTCATTTTACCATATTTTACCTATCATTTTACCTATCATTTTACCTATCATTTAATCATCACTTTAAATCCAAGATTAGCAACAAAGACTGAGACCTGACATCGAAGGTAGAGGTCTGGCCTTCGACATTTTTTGGGCGAAGTTGGACCACAATGAATCCATTTGATTTGCGACCAATACAGCGACTAAGGTTTTTGGTATATATATAATATATATGTATATGTATATGTATGTGTCTACTGTATACATATCAAAGGTGAAGGAGGTAAATAAAGCAACTTATAGATATAATATTCAATAGTTACTGAGGTATATAAAACAATATAAAACACATTTTACAACTTGGGGTGCACCACATTGTCAGTTGCAACTCCGGATCTCTCCAGTTCCAGCTCCAGAAAGAAATCAGGATCCCACGACAAAACGGCACCAGCGTCTTCGATGCCCTGCAAAACGGATTGAAGTTGGTGGTCTCAGATGTCTCAGATGTCTCGATGCAGCAGGAAGTGATATTCTCGTGACAAGGTCAAAGGTCAAAGTGTGAAAACTAAGAATTCTTACAACTGGAGGATCATGAGGATCTACTTTTAGTATCCAAAAAATCCAAGTCTGTGTGTTTTTGTAGATATTTGTGCTAAAGGCGTGTTTTTAAATTTTTTGGAGCTACAAGAGATGACGACTGACCTATAGCATCCTATAGCCATGTATCGCCATGACAAGGCACAAACCACATCCAAGGCCCAAGGTACTGGACGTGAAGCGTGCCAAGTTTGAAGATGGCATCGAGCGCTTCATCAAGAAGGAGCCGGTGAAGTTTTTTTTTTGGGAGCGACCGTTGAGCCGGACGCCTTGTCTTGACATCTCTGGGAAGGTTGAGAAAAATCGGGGATACCCGGATACCACACCGATAATGGCCATTTCAATGCGGGAAACCCTGATCATCCATATTTTTTTTGGGTATATCATGGTACATCCTACTCTGAGACAGACCATCATATCCATAATGACACCCCCACCTCATTCTGATATATGTTGATAGATCTCTGTATCAGTTTGGGCTTGAGATTGGAGCCTGGATTCATCTTGGCAGAGCCCAACAGTTCCAAAGTGGGCTCTAGTACCCTCTAGTCGCGTTGAAATTCCAAGTTGAAAGACAACAACCCAGATATGGAAGATGGTCCATTATTAGATATTATTAGGGTTGCTATTTCAGGCAACAACTACTTATTTCAGGACTTCCATCAGGGCAGCCGTTCTGCCTAGGACCTTCCCAAGTTGATGACAGCAATGGAGTGCCCTGGCGGTGACAGCCATTGACTGATGTTGACTGCGTAATGTGGTAAACCCAACCATATATCATTCCCAAAATCACCATAAATGGGCAACTATCATCCCCAAATGGTAGGTTTATGATGGCATTGGGTTTCCCGCATTATATCATTAGAGCATTTCCATGCATTTCCTATATTTGAAGACCACATTTTCTGCTGAACAAGTTGCTGCTTTAAGGGGGTACAGCCTCATCCAGCGCGTCTCCAAAGCAGACATGTCGGAGCGCAGCCTTTTTGGGCCTTGCGGGGGAGGGAGGAAGCAACTTCTGATTGCAGGAAGACTTGTCATACAACCTCCATAGACACACAACGAATGACTTTCTTCCTGATACTTTGATAAGTTGGATCAGAGTCAACATGCTCAGACGCTCAAGAGCAGAAGCATCAAAACTTCAGAAGAGGGTAGGGTTGGTGCCAAGAGAGCAAGGAGAACAAATGGTCCAGTCAGAATGCTACATTTATCATCGTTTATCTACATTTATCGACTTTTGAATCCATTGCCAGCTGGCAGGAGCCAATCGTGGCGCAGTTGAAGGCTGATCGCTTGGAGTTCGAACAGGCGGGAAGATCCAGCGCTTTGTGGAGGTCTTCGGTCAACAAGGCTGAACAACTCAGAACCACGCTGAGTTCATTCACAAACAAAGAGGCTGACGCAACAAAACTCAAAAGTTGCACAGCTGAGTCCTCTACCTTGTGCAGCGCATAGCCTTGAGTTGTTGATTGTGGAAACAAAAAACGCTTTACAGCCCCCCTGACTGACTGGCTGGATACCACGTAATGCTCACGGATCTTCAAGTCTGAACATCCTCAGCATCCCATTCGCTGAGGCCAAAGCATTTGAGGTACTGAGTCTACTTGGAATCGCATCAAAAAGTAGGTTGAGATCAGCTGACTTCTGGTAACATGGCCAAAAAATATCCCCAGTTTGCAGATGCTGCAGATGCATCTACTTTTCCCAGCAGGATCTTTTAATCAGGGCACATCAAATCACTGTCTTTTCAAAAGCCAGGCAGTCAAATCGAGAGACTACGGCGAGATCCGACGGACTTGACTTGGGGATGGGTCAAAATTTTGGTACCTAGTGAACCCCAAAATAGCTGGGATTTATGGATGTTCATCCCAGTAAAAATGGTATTTTCATAGGTATTGATCCATAGCCACTTCTTGTGGATTCATACTCCAAGAGGGGATCTTTCCAGGACCTTCAAAAACTGGAACGACCACTTGGATCCAGAGATTGGTACATGGGCCACTTGGATGCGATACATTGGGAGGTGGGTTTGATGGCCTTGATGAAGAGGGACCATGTTGTGCTTTTCATGTGCAAAAACGGTATATTCCTCTTCAACATGTGTGAACGTGATTTTTTTCTCTTACTGAAGAGTGTTGGATTTTTTTAAGATGGGGATATTAGATGACATGATATCACACAGTATCTTACATAATCCTAGGATATCCTAGGTTATGAACAATTTCTTCCTATGGTCCTACTTGAAAAATCTATCTATTTCCATCATCCCTCAGCATTTCGCTCTCCGCTGTTGGCATCCCTAGGAGCTCACTGAGAGCTTCTGAGGGGACGCAACCGCGGTTGCGCTTGGTGGCGGTGGTGAAGAATCTGTGGCGGATTTTCAAATGATTGACAGGTATTGGTACACTATGGTATAGTAACCCCCAACAAATTCATGAAAAAGTAAGATGACTAAGATGACACTCAAATAACGACCAATTACTTCTTCCAAATCTTTTTGGGGTTTACTATAGTTTAACATAGCTATAGAAACATACCCATTGATAGATGACTTACGACAATGATGATCTTATCGAAGTGACGTTGCCAGTACTTGTGACCTCTGTGACCAGTAAATTTGCTGTGTACTAAGTGAGATTCTCACCAAGACGCACTGAATCCATTGACTGGGCCGCCTCTCCAGCGGCCTCCATTTTTCCAGTTCGCATTTGTAGCCGAAGATCCGGTGGCTCAAATCAGCTCAAGCCGGGCAAACATAGGTCAGCTTTGGTTTACTTCGAAGGAGCAGCATGACTGAACTTGGCTCATTGTAAAAGGAATAGGTTTGAGGTTTGAACCCAGAGGATATGTAGGAAAGGGACCAAGGTTTTTCTTGCTGCTTGACTGAACTTCAACAGGCTTGTTTTTTTTTGCACTGCACAGTCCTTGCTTTCTGGTAATGCGGCCAGATTTCCACGTTCAAAGTTATGGAAAAGACTGCCCATATGTGCCGATCATTGCTAACTTTTTACATCTCTTTACACAGAAGCTTCAAAGCGTGACCATGTGGACCAATCCACAATTTCTATATTATATAATTTCTTCATATTTCTTCTATTCTATGATTCTAATATTTCTAATGTGGGTAGTCAACAATGCCATTTGCACCATCCCCCAGTCATCACCATTTTTATAGCTGGCCCTGGAGCGTTCCGCTGATTTGAACTGCAGTTCACTGCGCTGCAAACGCTGACGGATGGGGAACGATGGGGAACTTCTAGACATGGCCGATGATCATGATATAAATGATCATGGCAAGCTATAGACTTAACAGTTAGCACCACATATATCATACCATATGAGCGACGGCTCTTATTTGCGTATATGGAAAGTAGTATTCGGGCGTACCCCGGTTTGTCAAAAACATCATATTTAGCTTGTAAAACGAGGTAGGAACACCCCGAGAACGAGGTAGGCAAAAACGTTACGGGACTGGAGAACGAGGTAGGAACACCCCGTCAATTGCGTTATGTAACAAATATGGTTCGCAGCTCATATATATATATATATATTAAATAATATGTATATGTAGTATATAGATGTACGTAGTATATTTATGTATATTCCTCTTCGATACTAGATTTGGTATTGATATTCTCTCGCACTTCTCCTGCACCCGTGCGCCGGCGTCAGCGGAGTCTGGGTGGAAGGGGTGATCCTTCCACTGCCTTGGTGAAAATAGGAAAAGACAAGCTGCCCTGGTGATACCCTGCTGGAAACTACCATGGAACCAGCGAATTTCATCGGTTTGGAATGGTTGGGACCGGTTAGGAGATGTTAGGAATATGATGTTCTCACTGGAAATGGAAATTGTTCAGGTTCGATTCGAACGGTTATATAATATATATATATATATTATATATATAGATGTTAGTTTTCAGGGGTACAGGGTGGAACAGGGAGGACTCAGAATCGAACACAAAACTCTTGGAATTTGTATGAATTTGTCTTCTTTACATTTTGGGAAGCCTTCAGATTGTTTTGCCAGGAATTGCAGGAAGTATGCCATGTCGTGGCTTTGGGTTTCCACAATTTGAGAGATTTTCAGCGATGGTTGGACAAGCCGCACAGCGTGGGAAGTGAGGACGCTGAAATCTGGATTCCAGATCCACGAGACAGACTCGCGACCTGTAGACAAAGTCAGTTTTTAGGAGGATGGATATTGTGTTCCTCCATTTCTTTTAAGCCAGATTTGCAGCCTATTCAGGCTCAGCGGACATGGATATTCAGGCATAAACCAGGTCACCAGGTCCTTTGCAGATGGCTCCAGTATGCAATGACCATCAATGACCAGAATTTCTCAGCCTCACAGTGGAGCAAGCCATGCAAGGAGGAGCCCCAGCAGGATATCATCATCACTTGCGAGCCAGACAATTTCATCCATAAATCTTGGACTCAGCAGAGCCAATGCCATGCACAGGGCGCGATCGGCACGAAGTGCTTGGGGACCGAGATGAAATTCAACTTTGATGGAGATCCATTGCGATGATCAATGAAGACGTGGTGAATTCCCATATTTTTACCTGTGAAACAGATAAATTCTCGTGAAGAATGCATCAATTTCCATGGGTCAAATCCCCAAAATCTGATGCTCCGCCAGCGATTTCCCAGGTGTTGGCGGTGGACTCCAGCAGCTTTCAACTGCCATCCAGGTGAATTCGGGTGAGATTTTTGGGGTACCCCAAGTGAATCATATCTGGGTAAATTATAACGACCTCACTGCGACCGAGCCCTGGAATCATGGTTAATAAGGGAAATCATCCCCAAATGGCCTTAATTCAGGTTAGTGAAATATGATAAACTAAACTAGAAGATGCAATTGTATACTATATATAATTACACACACACTATATGATCGAAAAATGATGTATATCATACATATGCTGGCATTTTTAGCTGGCTGAGATGGAACCTTCTAATAAATCCATGCCAGGTATCAGTTTCAGAAGCTGCTGGGCAGTGGCAGCTATGGCTGGGTTCTTGGTGACAGAAACCATAGCCTTCGAAGCATGGAATTCAAAGATGGGCTCTGCAGTTCCGGATGTTGGTTGATTCTACTATTGATCCATCAATCATATCCAGATATATTCCCAATAGCCATGCTTTGTTGGCAAATTCACTGGCTGGGCAGAATGATTCCTGAGGTGTAGTAGCATCCTTTCGTGATGCCACGGAGGGCCGGGACGTGGCCGTGAAGCGTGTGCCGAAGCACCCAGAGGTCCACAAGATGCCACCAGAGTTGAACCTATGGTTTGGGGGATCCCCCATTCTAGGAACCCATGAAATGGATAAGGATTTGAGTGGCAAATATGGCTGGGTTGAAAATTATGAGGGGAACGAACCCACAGTTTGAGTTTGGACCTTGTTAGTACAGCAATAGCCATCCAATTTCTACAGTACCTCAAGCTTGGCCCAAGTTCATGTCAAAAAATCAACTGCGAAATGCGTTGAAGGCATGTAACATCAGCAACATTAGTGATTCTCCAGACTGTTCCAAGACGCCTGTACATCTTGTGCATCCAGTTTTCCGATCCACGTCGCTTAGGCGAAGAGTCTTCGACAACTTTTTGATGCTGAGACGAACGCCTCTCGGAGTTCAACTCACAAGGGAGCGCTGCGGTCTGGTTTGGGCTGCTCCAATGTTTGGAAATACCACTGGGTTTCAGTTTCATTGGTTGAGTATCAAAAGTTAGTGATATCTAGTGATATCTAGTGATCATTATGATTATGATAATGCAAATTACGTAGTATACAAGTTGTATCCCAAGTTCGGTTGCTAGTTCCCTGATTCTTCCAGGTTTTCGAGCTCCTTTCTTGATCTTTCTTGATGTTTTCCCAAGGCTCAGGGAGATCAAGTTGATGCGTCATTTTCGCCATCCCAACCTCTTGCAGCTGCATGACGCCTGGGCGCCCTGGGCGCCAAGGATCCTGGGGTCATAGGGCATACAGTGATTGGAAATGGATGGAGATGGCACGAAACAGCGAATGTACCCGAAATATAGGTTGTGAAATTTAACCAAGTAACGCACCAAGTGATGACAGCAGCCTCTCAACAAAGCAGCAACCGCCGTAGGTCCTGTTGGTGGAAGCAGGAGGCCCGAAGCTGAGATTGATTTGGCTTTAACCATGCGTTTCTCGACAAAAACATGTGTTTGTTTTATAGTGGGTTTGGAGAATTTTTGGATATTTTTGGAACATGCCAGTCTGTAATCCAAGTATGGCAGGTCGAAACTGACTGTAGCATACTGTACCACTGGACCAGCAGTTGAATGATTCGTTCTTTGTATTTGTTCATCAGCAAAAATCATGTGGCCAGGTGAGCTCTACATTTCCATGGAGCCTGGCCCCTGAGGGATGGAGTCCCAATGATAAGCATCGAATTTGGGGCTGGTTTTTCCCACCCATCCATTTCTGGTAGAATTGGGCATGGTTTATTCGATTGGGTTTACCAGATTACAGTGTTAAACTTTTCGATGCATTATGTTTATCATCGAGCCCAAACTGTCCGTTATTTTGGAGGGTTTTCAGGTTTTCACCCATGAAATGGAGGACTCTACCATTCAATTCTGCCGGTCATTTGGGTTCCAGGAGTTCTTTTATGTTTTTTTTTTTATGTCAAAGCACATGATGTCATGATGTCCTTGAGGCTTATGGACTGTGACCTGGATCGGCTGGTGCGAGGACGTGGCGTTGCATTGGAGGAGAATCAATGCCGAGACTTCTGCTCCAAGGTGCAGCGTCCCATTGGCGGATCGCGACCATTTAAGAGTCTATCTTGAAGCGGAAAGGGCAATTTTCATAGCGAAAATGATGATGATGATGATGATGATGATGATGATGATGATAAACAACAGGGGTCCAAACTTGAGACAACCCCATGTCTGGTTTCCCGACTCCTACTCCTACAAGTTTGTCTTGAAACGAGGGAGACCCTAATCCCGAAGCAATGTTTCCTTGCTGAGATAAAGTTGTTGATTTTTTGGGTGCCCAGCTTTTGGAAATATATTTAGATGGCATTTGGCATCTCAAAAATTGGGGTCCAATCCATTCCAGAGATCCCCGAAGATTTGCCTGGCAGGTCTTCCTTGGGCTGCTTCACTTGCATTGTGGGCACGTGATCCATCGGGACAGAGTGTGGGCAAGTGCAAGCTGTCGGCCATGGGTTTCAATGTTTTTTTCAGCTAAAGATCTTCCATGATTTCTTGTTCAAAGTGTGCAGAGTCACAGAGACCTGTGAACTTCAACTTGCTGAATGCGGAATAGCTTGGCACACTGGGATTACAACCCTGCTTGCAGGACTTGAAACCTGCGAATATTTTCATCCGCCTGAAAACAAAAGAGGTGGCTGACGGTGGCTGTTTCAGGGTGACAGGTGGCGGACACAGTGCACAAACACTGAAAACCCTGAGCTAAAAAGTGGTGTCCATTGGTATGTGAGAGTGGGCATGGCCATCGGCTATGGTGTTCCCTTATTTGGCTCACCCCTGCCTAGAGCTCCGCCAAGTTCGTCAGGTGAAAATTGGGGACCTGGGCTTAAGCCGTGGCATTGCGGTGGATGGCGAGACCGGCGAGGTCAGCGTCTGATTTTCTGGCTTGTTTGTTATTATCGGCATCGAGAAGTATGATGGTTGAATGTCAAAACACAAGCTAGGCAGTAGCATTATAGCAATCACGATTAAACTAATTGTTGCCCTTCGGGCACATCAACTTACTTTATTTCACAGAAGTCCGACAACTAACAGACACATTGGTTGCCCAATGGGCACAAAATTCCCTGTGGTGGTTTCAAGCAGATTGCTATGCAGAGTTGGGAAGATTTCAAGTACTCGCTTTCGATGGCTATACAGAAACATCTCACTTAGCGATATATGAGGATGTGACTGCTATACGCTGTGGACTTGCTTCGTAATTATGTACCAAATCGCCTACACTATGGAAGGAGAAAGCTTGTATGGCAAATCAGAAGATCATCCCTGGAGACAACCAAAAGATCTCAGCAATTATGGCACAGAATTGAGTGCGAAAGGTGCACAACTCATGCAGAAGTTCAATCAACAAAGCCAGCCTATCATAGGCTGGATTTGTTGATTGAATCATTGATGCTCGAAAATCGACGCGAGGATATTCAGATTCAGAATGGGAAGAGCTAATGAAGATATAGAAAACTTTGGCCCTTCAAAGGCTCTAAGCCTGAAGCTCTCGACTGGTGGAGCCTGTCAACCACAGAACTAATGCAAGCTGTGTCTTGGACTGATTTAATTCCATTTTTGTTTAATTAGTAACATGTCTATGTATATTTAGAACGATAAATATATATCATATATGTCTTTAAAAAACGGATCGACACGATGACTCCTCCATTATCAGATGCTGAGCTATGATCGTCGCCTTGCGCCTTCACATCCGGACCCATTTGAACCAGCAGTAAAGAGAATCAGAAGTCTGAAAAGCAACTTCCTCTGGGCAATCGTCTATAAAGAGGATCGCTTCAAGATACAATGGGCAATGAATGTGCTGCAACGCAAGACCGAAGAAGAATTGGCAGCCCAAAACTTTCGACTGGCCGAAGGTTCTTTGGGGGTCACCCATGTACTGCGTTTCAAATCCTGGATTTGAAACGCAGTACATGGATGACCCCCAACTTTGGCCGACTTAGCAGATTAAGAAGATATAAGATATATATAAGATCAACTATGCCCCCATGACAGTGGAGAAGGTCGAAGCTATCCGAATTTATCAGAAATGTTCATGTGCCTAATGTGAAGAGCAATGAACTTTACGCTACCAAAAACCTATAAGCAATCCTGGATCTACAGTGCGAAGTAGAAATGCAGACAATCCCCTCAATTAAAGGATGAGAGGAAAAAGTGTTATTTGAAAAATAAACACAAGACCAGGTAATTTTGATTTGTAGAGTGAACTGAAAAGTTCCTTGCAACAGGAACTCAGTAGGCACTCTAGCGTGGCACAACTCAGTGTGAACGTAAGGGGTTAAAAGGGGATTGTTTTGTTAGCTTGAATCTAAATTCTATGGCAGGTTTAAGTCTCAGATCAGACAGTGCAGAACCATTGCAAAGCAAAGTGCGCTCAACATAGCTAGATGTAGCCATTATGCGGGAAGAATTCTTTGGATTGGTTCAATTTTGTTGAAAATTGTTGACTCTTCGAAGTGATTCTTGTAGGCAGTAGTAGGCAGCGATCCTTGCCTTTGCTGGAGCAAGCCGTGATTTTGGCTGGGAACTCCATCCGGCGAGGCCATCCATCCATTGGAGGAGCAGCTCACGGAGTATGTGGTCACACGTTGGTGCGCAGATGGGGATGACGGGAGGATGGGAAGGCGGCAAGCTGCAACGGTGCAGGTACCGTGCGCCAGAAGTGCTTCTGGCTAGATCGAAGTACGGGCGCGGCTGGCATGTTTGAAGCATGGAAATGCAAGGATTCAATGGAATCCCTCTCGGGAAATCACCACTGGCAGGCCCAAAGTGGATGTGTGGTCGGTGGGTTGCATCCTCTACGAGATGTGGACTGCCAAGGCAGCGTTGCGGGACCATCATGGAACCAGCAGTGTTCGTGCCAAGAGGAGCAGGGAATTGGAATCAAAAGTTGGAATCCATATCACAGCTGAAAAATCATACCAGTAGGTGATGATAATGTTAGTCAAGCAATAATGAACCACCCTAGTTTTGATGGTGTACCACTCATTTATGGTATCTTTGGGGATGGTTTACTATTAGTTTTACATTAGTTTTACTATAAGATTAGATGATATAAACCGTGGATATTTCATAAGGCACTTTCAGGCACATCCCCCCTTCGGCCTTCACAGCTGCCAGGCATTGTTCCCAGGCAAAAATAGCCTGGATCAACTGACAAAAGCTCAGACCTTAAGGCCTTGTGAGTTCACAAGAATTCAGGTTTGTGAAGCTATGACTGGTGATTTCCAATGCATACAATATCATCAGATATCTTCAAATATCTTCAGACATCATAAGATATCTTCATTTTTAGCCTCTACCCTCTGGTAATTTAACGTAGCTATTGAAAATGACCATTTATAGTGAGTTTTCCCATTCAAAATGGTGGATCTTTCCATAGTTATGTGAACGTTTACCAGAGGGTACCCTCTCCAGTCTTTTTTCCATGTCCATTTTGTGTCAAGGCTTCAAACTCCGGCCAAGGTGATGGGCATTATGGGACTACCATCGGAGCAGTTGGACACCCAATGTCGTGGTAGACCCAATGCCATATACCATCCAAAATCCACCAATTTTAGAGGTGGTATACTGATGTATACTGGTATGCACCATCCCCAAATGGTATAAAATGTAAATTGCTAATGGCATTGGGTTTCCCACATTAATTAATTGGTCTGGGACATGTCTGAAGTTTGAGAAGCAAAGTGTTGGAACCCCAAAGCCTTGACCGGAAACCATTTTTACTTGGACATCCCTAGATTTTCTTGGGGTTGAATCATGTTGAATCTTGAAATTTGATTTGCGGAGGTTTTAACAGGCTTTCTGTGTTGAATGGACGGTCACTGGTCTCGAAGTGAGATTGTAATCCTGAAGCCCAACAGCCGTGGCACCGAGGGATCAGTGGTGGGTTCCAGAGGAGTCAGTTCGTCGGTTGGCCACAACCAAAACCGTCAAAACCCAGAAGAACCAGTTGAAGCTATGGTGATCCTCAGTAATTACATCAAATACTCATATTCCATGTCCATATCATTCCATATCCCATTGAGGTCATGGTGTAGCGCTTCTGACCTCCGTGAAATTGATCTAAGGTGTGAAGTTTGATGATTCAGCCAGGGTACAAAGGGCCCAGTCAAAAGTCTTAACATGTGCCACCTTCTTTGACACTGATACTCTATCGATTTATGTAGCAAAGTTCCAAAGTTGGCTTTGACAGAAAATCATGCTCCAAAGATCTCCAAGTGCATTGGAACAGCCACAATTATCGGATCCCAAAAATGTGTGGATCCCAGTCGTGAAGCCGCAGGAGTCCAAGCCGATGCTGTTGCGTTGTTCTCAACGACCTGCCAAGGGCTTGTCCCGGATGCAGGGCATTCCTGGGGGACATGGTGCGACACTCAGCGGTCTTGGCCGGCTGCAAAGTTCTCCTCCCTCTTTTTTTTTCTGAAACTCCTCCTCAGTATATGTAATGTATGTACACACATATATATATGTATATTATAATATATTATATATGTATCTATATCAGTCCGAATCCTAATCTTAATCTTGATCTTGATCATCAAATAATATGATAATGTGGTACACCCAAGAATAAACCACCCGCAATATTGCCATGGATGGCTTTAAACAACCCTCAAATGGTGGTTGTTTATGGCATTGGGTTTACCACATTGAGTATCATTTGACTATCAATTACCCACATACTTTCTTGGTTGAATCCCCATCATATCATATCAACACATATTAGTCCAATTTGTAGGGATTGAATCACCCTTTTAGTGGGTTTACCACCACACTAGTTACTAACGTTTACCCCAAAATCAAAACTAACATCAGTTACCTAAAATCAGATATTATCAAATAAGCGAACAACCTTTTTTGGGGCTTTTTGGGGGCCCCTATGCATGAACAAATCCAGTTCCACTAGTGCAAAGTTGGGGTGGTGCTTCTGAGAAAAGGAAGAAGGGATTAGTAATTAATGTTGACAACCCAACGCCATTAATCTACCATTTGGGGGTGGTTCGAATCCCACTTATAAAAATAGTGATTTTGGGGACTCTTTATGGCATGCCCACGTTAAAAACCTTATCAGAATTGATTAACCAGAATAATATTATCAATCACCTTATCATTATATAGCCACCTTATAGATCATGAGCTCCTGTGAGAGGTGTGAACCACCTTAAACATTCTTATAGATCATAAGCTTAATTATGATTCAAGATAATCATTAGATAACAGGCCACCTCAAAGTCACCTTATAGATCATGGTGGTTGGTGATAGATCAGAATTACCACTGGATCACTACCTGAATATTACTACAATATATATTATACCATTGTATATATATATCATAAACTTATATTATTATAATATATGCTAATAACAATAACCTACAATAATAAACAGACAATTATAAGAATAGCGATGCATATTATATTATATAATATATTATATATAGGTTATATATTCTGAATCCACGTCCGTCAAGGTGCAGACCTCCTGGCCCGGCTCCTGGCCTTCGACCCTTCGCGGCGCCTCTCCGTGGTGGGGCCCCCGTGGTGGGGACCGGACCTGGCGGGCCAAAAAGAAGCGCTGTGATCACCAGAAAAGGGTGGAAAACCATGCAAGAATCGATGGAAAACCATAGAATGATAATGAACGCACATGCAAGAATGATGAACCATTTTGAAAACTATTAAAAACATCGATGACAAATGCCTCAACATCTCCAGGAAGATGGTGCGGAAACACCCTTTCTGCTTTCTTTGATCCCCCAAAACTGCCAGTTGTGTCTCCCAAAGACCAGAAGTTTCCCGTAGCAGCGGCGCTAGCCTGGAGCCAAGGAAGCGGCTTTGCCAGGGCTGCTCAGGGTAGCAGGGTAGTGGGTCATGGAGGTACCCCCAAATCATCCAAATAGATCATTGGACCATTTGAGTATTGAAATCTTTGGTGACTTGGGGATCCCCCATTTTTTGGACCCCCCCTAACTGTAAGAGAATAGACAACTAAAGATGCGAAACATTGCGAAACAAAATGAGACATGGATGACCCAATATTCTTGGGACCGCCGGTGGATTGCAGATCAAAAGAATCGCCGACTCTGAGGCATCATCCCTATTTGGAGAGAGCGAGTCTTAGCTCGGCGGGCCTTGATGAACATCTCATTTGGGGATACCTTCGGCCAAGATCTGTTGTTGAGGATGATTGAGGATGATTGTTGAGGATAATTTGGCTCACCAGGGCACATTGACGTGATGTACGGCGTTGAGCTGATCGCAGCTCAGGTTTCGCTTCGGGTCAGGTGGACCGCGCCAAGGACATTCCTAGTGGATGCGGCAATCGCTCTATGAACAAGTGGGTATACAACATGATGACATTGAGATATAGAAGTGACAGAACCTGGGAGATGGTAGCAGCTTGAAACATTCAACATCATTCAACATCTTTCAACATCATTCAACCATTGTTTCATGGTTGGGCCTAGAGCTTGAACCCTTGCCCGGGATCTATTGGGTCTGCACTTCAGCCTGGCTCAAGCGAGGGCCAGTGCGATTGATTTTAGCCCACTGGTCCATGGTGTTTCAGCGCGCAAAGGCCAATCCCTGCCCCGAAGATGACCAAGTCAACAACGACCAGGTCGTTGAAGCAAAAGAACCAGCTGAGCCAATGGTTGAGCCGGAGCAGCCGAAAGACTTGGATGCGATTTTGGCCAAAATTCAATCGGCCTCTGGAGAGATCATGCATAGCATTGATCAAGATGAAGCGTTGAGAGATGCCGATCCTGAAAATAAGGTGCTGGTGGATGTGGGGGATGCGTGGCATGTGGGGGATGCAAGAAAAGGGAGCGACTCATCGGAATGCATATTAATGATTCTTAATGTAATACGTTTTTTTGGGTGCGTCAGAATCACCAGCTGTGCCGCTCAGCCAGGATACAGCAAATCTGCTTGGAGCTGACAAAGATTTCGGCTCGCTGGATGCTGCGAATGGTGAGATGCCCGAGGTGGTCAAGCAACAGCTGCTCAGACTTTCGATGGGCACAATTGGGGAGGACTGACAAATTATCTTTAGTGAATCTATGCGAATCATGTAATCATCTATCATAAAGGATGATTATTATTCATCTATTATTCATCCAGAATAATTATAATCAACCAGCTTGTAGCATTTTATAACAATCGTTCTAAAGTATTGTGCTCTATTCATCATCAGTTCATCTACGCGAATAGAACCATTGGATTACTTTAAGGGAAATTGACACCGGAAAGCCCTATATTTGATGCTAAAACACCATAAAATGGTTTCCGGTGGTCAGATTTTCCCTGAAACCAATCCAGCGGTGAACTCGGTTTACCTGGGGATATACCTGGGGGACCTTGAGCAATTCATAGCACTACCAATGCACCCGGAAAACGATAAGAGTAACAAACCCATAACGAACTTATACATGTACCCTCTGGTGAACTAACATAGCAATGGAAAATCACAATTTTTAATGGGAAAATCCACTATAAATAGCCATTTTCCATTGCTATGTTAGTTCACCAGAGGGTACATGTGCATGAACCCCTGAAGATGGCCCCTGCAGACTCCTCCAAAACACTAGCAAAACGATCACAAAAGAGCGCGCGTTCGGGCGGATACCCACCTGTATGTTTGATATGATAGCGACGGACAATGACAGGACATGAATGCATAATGAAAGGAACATGAAAGGCACATGAAAGGATATTAATGCAACATGAAAGGAAATTAATGCAACATGAAAGGAACATGAAAGGAACATGAAAGGAACATGAAAGGAAACAATGTCATCTGTTGACTTTCGACCAAGGATGCCTTCACACCCACACAAAGCTGGAAAATTCCCATTTCTACTACAGAGAGCCCACCACCTGAGAAAACGATAAGAGTTTAAAAAAACGATAAGATGATTTGGATTGATTTGGGGACATTTAAAAAATGTCACTTGGGTATGGATCAATACCTATTAATACCATTTTAAGTGGGATGAACATCCATTTACCAGCTATTTTGATGTTCACTAGGTACCAGGGTTTTGACCCATCCCCACTTTAAAAAAAACCACATAGGCCCCAGGGCGGCTCTCCAACTTTCGCCCTCAGGCTGGATGAAGCCGCCGAGGCGCGCGAAAATCTGGTGATCCAATGGCGCGAGGTCTGTAAGCCGCGCCGGGCGGGGGCCATTGCGGCGAAGCGCAGGGGGTCACGCAGCACGGCGGCCGACGTGGTGAAGATGTTCGAATGGTGGGATATATTTCATTTACAATATATATATAATATTATATAATATATAATTATATTATATATTATATTGTATATATACACGTAGTAATACATAGCTAAATTTATGAATGTCACACACACACAGAGTAATACTACGTAATCAAAAATAGTAATCAATAATCAATAAATCAATGATAGTCATACACCCACCAATACTAATAATTTCTAATACAAAGCAATGAAACAATAAATAGTCATAGGACCCCATTAAATAAGAATACATGTACTCGTATATAAGATTATATAAGAATCTAAATACATATTATGTATAATAACATTTATATATATGGTATACATACAGATAATCCATATTATTTTAATATTTCCGTAGAAACGGGATGATAGTCAAACATTGGAGGATCATGGTATTGGGTGCCGATGATATTATCATGCCCCACAAAATACTGTCTGACTAAAACCCTTCTTGAAAACATAGATTTGAAAATTTGTGGGGTATCATAATATCATATATATATAATATATCACACACATATATATATATATATCATATGTACATATATCATATATATATATATGACCGGATATTTCATGGAGGGTATATATATATCATTTACCAGAGGGTATATCCCATTTAATCCCTTCATTACCCAAAGGTTTGACGCCTTGGATCTGTCAACCCCCAACGCCATGGGTGCTGGAAGAGGAGGATCGCCCAAAGAAGCCAAACCATTGGGTTTTCCCTGACATTTTAAGGGACAACCCCCAAAATCCAATGGTTTTTCCATGTTTTTCCTGATGATTTATAGTTTAAATAGCTTAGATACACATTTGACGACAACCCATTGGTTGACCAACGAGGCAAGGATTTCGCGGATCTCTTTCAGCAATGGCTGATAGCCCGCAATCTCAACGATGCTTTGGTGCCAGATCGATATGAAGATGGCTGGAAAGTTTACACGCACCTTGGCCATTGGAAAGAGTCATGATCGTTCTGGGGTTCAATTGGTAAGGCATTATTCTCTGACGTGTATATAACGTGTGTGTACGTGTATACATATTATGCACAGATTGACTTGTCAATTTCATTTGTACATGTTTTGCACCTCTGGAAGTATCTGTAGGCAGGTCTTCAACATCTTTCAACATAGGCAGAACTTCAACCACCTCAAGGTCCAGACATATCAATTATATATACTATGATATCATATACTATATGAGTGTGATATGATGGTGATATATATTTGTTTGGCTGACCACACATAGCCTTCACTTCACCATGCCTGCCAGGTTCACACACTCACTCAGGGGAATGCACCCCGTAGCCGTTTGATGTCAAAAATCTGCGGCGGCGCTGACACGTGCTGCTGGGAGGAGACAGAGGACCCCGCTGAGGCCACTGAGGACCAAGGTAAGGGGGCCAACCCAAACAGGTTACGAGCCCAAGGAGACGCAGACCCTGAAGGCAAAGGAAGCCAAGGGGAAGAAGAGGGCAGAAAAGGCCCATGATGATGGAGCGACGACGAAGAGCTCCTGAGAAAGATGAGGATGAAGCTGATGAGGAGGTGGAAGTGCTGAAAGGAGGCCAACAGAAGGCCTTGGAAGATGAAAAGAGAGATGAAGAAAGCCAGGTGTTGGTAAGAACTCAAGGCCGTGGAGGCGAGTTCCTGGGGACGCCCAATCAGCCAGCACTGGAAGATGGTGTGGGGAAGACCTTAGCCGAAGAGGAGACCCCAGCCAAGAAGGTTGAGGAGTGGAAGACTCCAAAGACCGTGAAAGACACTCCAAGAGGAGACACAAGCTCTACAAGGGAAAAGGAGAAGGAAGGGAAGACGGCATCGGCAGCCGAGACCCCCCTCCAAAGACCCCAAGGAGCACCCCAAGCACTTGAGACAAGTCCCCGATGGCCCGGTGGACCAACAACCAGCCCGACCACGCTCCGACCAGCCATCCAGCCAGAACCCAAACCGCTGTTTGATGCGGAACAATTGAGGAGATATGAGGAGTTGCGGAGGCAAGCACCGATGCTGAATCCGCATGGAGTTCAAGAGAGAACTCTAGAAGAGATGAGGCCAGATGCCTTGAGAGATGAAGAGTTGAAAAGATTGAGGAGAAGAGAAGAAGAGTTGGAGATGGAGAGAACCATGCTCCTACAAGAAAGAGCTACTCTGCAGAGACTGCTGCAGGAGAAAGAAGAAAGAACCCACATGCAGAGACTGCTGCATGAGAGGGAAGTTGAGATGATGAGCCAAGAGAGGCAAGAAGGAAGACGGCAGAGAGCCATTGATGATGATGAAGTCCAGTATCGGACACCCGAAGAAGAATCTACGACAGCCAAGAAGCTGTTCTATGAGGAGCCACAAGAGGCTGCAAGACCCCCAAAGCCCGACGAGGCTGCGAGACCCCCAAGGCCAGATGAGGCCACCCGACAGACAATGCCACAAGAGGTTGACAGACCTCTCAGGAAGGAGCCAGGAGGAGACGAACCCCCTGGAACTCTGCAACTGATGGCAATGATGATGCAGAGCATGCAAGAGATGCAAAAGAAGATTAACTCCAAGGAAGGAGGAAAGGAAGATGGTGGAGGTGAAGCTGAGTTCGTCCGGAGCCACCCCGAAGTGCCAAAGCTCCAGGATTGGAATCCCTCCACAGGTCCGATCGACCTGAATGATTGGTTGGCTTTGATCGAGCCAATCATGGCAGATTTGACCGCCACCTCAGGAGAGTGGTGGGAAAAGCTCCTGAAGGAGTGCCGGCAGTGGTATCAAGACCACATGGCCCTGAGTCCGTTGGACAGGCTGGCACATGAACCGAAGCCCTCAAAGGAGCTTGAGCAGCCAAGGTGGACACGCCTGGAGAGACGGGCATCCACGCTGCTGATGATGAGCATTCCAGAAGCCCAGAAGGAGGAGTTGGTCTCCACAAAGAAGATCACAGCCATGAAGATCCTCTGTCACCTCTTCACGACCTTTCAGCCTGGAGGACTGGCTGAAAAGGAGGTGATCCTCCGGTCGTGGGAGATGCCGGCTGAAGCGGCCACGGTGGCAGACGCAGTGAGCGCGCTGCGGAAGTGGATGAGATGGCGAAGAAGGGCCATGGAACTGCAGGTGAGCGAGCCTGATCCGTTCCTGCTCCTCAAGGGCCTGGGAAGGATTGTGAAGAAGCCCCTGGAAGCAAACAGGGAGCTGAACTTCCGAGTCAGCTTGGCTCGATCCACCTTGCAAGTGGACTCCACACCAACAAGAGAGACGGTGGGGAAGTTCGCAACACACCTCTTGGCAGAGATGGAGCAGATAGCACACCTTGACGGCAGCAGGAAAAGCACAAGCAAAGATACGCAGAAGACAGCACAGCCAGAGGTGAAGATCAAGAAGATAGAAGAAGGAAAGGGTGAAGGCAAGTCAGGGAAAGGTGAGAGAGCCCCCTGCAGATTCTTCATCTCAGAAGAAGGATGCAGAAAAGGCAAGGAGTGCAGATGGCAGCACGCCTTGGATGACAAGAAGCGGTGCTGGAACTGCGGTTCAACACAACACTTTGCACCAGCTTGCGACAGACCAAAAGAAGCAACAGGCGACAAGACCGCCAAAGGAGGAGAAGGAAAAGGATGGTCGTCACGGCCGATGACCAAGGCAGCAAGGAAGGAAGACAGCCCTAAGAAAGAGGAGCAGTCTGCAAAAGAGGAGACACAAGAAGAAGCGACGGCATCAACAGAGACCATGAAGGGTCTTTTAGAAGAGGCCAATAAGATGCTGAAGAGCATGGCCATGAAGAACCAAGAAGATGAAGAGAAATCAAAGGATGTCAAGCTGCAAGCCATGCAGGCACAGCTCGACGAGCTGAAGAAGATGAAGGTTTTGAGGCTGTCGAGGATAGCCAAAGAGGAGACGAAGTATGGGCTGCTCGACAGTGGAGCGACTCATGCCATGAGAGGAAAGAAGAAGGGTGAAAAGACCGAAGCCTACGAGAAGGTGAAGGTCACCCTGGCCGATGGGCATCAGGTAGACATGAGGATGGCACCGTCAGGAGTGATGGTCATGGAGGAGGCAGAAGGGGTGGAGCCAATCATCCCAATGAGCGCTCTAGCAGGCCAGCTAGGCTATGCCATTCACTGGGCCCAAGGCAAGATGAAGCTGACGCACCCACATCGAAGTGACATCAAGGTCACGATGTGTAATGGTTGCCCACAAGTGCCCAAGAAGGTCGCTCTGAAGATCATCCAGGAGATAGAGGATGGTAGAGGGCTCAAGAAGGCAGTGGTCAATCAAGAAGAAGAGAAGTGGCTGAGGGAGATGACCCAATGCCATCCAGTTTTGAAGCACCTACCTGCTCAGATCAAGGAGCAGCTGGTGGTGACTCCGACTGAGTCATTGAAGGGGTTGCCAGAATGCAACCGAAGAAGAAGGAAGATCATGGAGGAAGAAGGATTCGTACTCCACCTGTACGCAGGAAGCAGGGACGGGTACACCCTAAGCCGAGCACTGCAAGAGTGCGGAGGTGACAAGAGAAGACTGCTGGAGGTTGACGTCCTACGGCAGGAAGAAGGACAGCCAAAGCATGACATGCTGGCTGATGATGGCCCATATGCTGCACTGATGAGGGCCGCCCTCGATGGCACGTTGAAAGGTGTCATCATGGGACCAAACTGTAGGACTCGATCAGTCCTTCGCCATTACCCATTGCCGGTGCCTGGAGGAGGCCCAAGACCGGTCAGAAGCTGGGAAGAGCCCTGGGGTATGGCACAAAACACAAAAGAAGAACAGGACAAAGTCAGGGAAGATGACGTCCTGATGTGGCGAGGCTTGATGCTGTTCATCGCTCATGAAGAGATGAGGAAGGCACTGAAGAGAGGAGAGGAAAAAGCCATGTTCCTGGGCCTGGAACAACCAGCAGATCCAACACACTCCAGAAGTGGTCACATTCTGGAAGACACCAGAATGGATCCAGATGAAGCTCCGATACCAGCTCAAGGAGCAGACGTTCCTCCAATCAAGGTGGGGCGGTAAGGCCAAGAAGCCAACCACCTTCGGAGGGAACCTCTCACTCTGCCTCCCAGACTCTCAAGAGGATGAAGAAGAGGTCAACGCCAAAGATGATGAGCCTCTGAGATCGTCAAAGGATCTCTCAAGATGGGCGCCTGGCATGATGAAGCAGGTTGCCACCCAGATCATCAAGCAGATCTTCAAGAAGAAAGTAAGGGCAGCGAAGATGAGCTGGGAAGAACATGTCCAGAGAGGACATACGCCATTTCGGCGTGATTGCCAGTTCTGCCAGGAAGCTTCGGCCCGGGGGAGGATGCACCACAAGATCTCTCACCCGAAGGCAGGCGTCATGAGCCTCGACGTGGCTGGACCCTTTCACAAGGGGAATGACGTTGACGGCCAGGCCAAGTTCATGCTGGTCGGAACATACACCTGGATCAAGCCACAACAAGAAGCAGGCGAAGAAGCGCCACCCCCAGAAGCAGAAGAGGCTGATCAGGTGGAAGATCAAGAAAGAGAAGACGGCAGGCCAGAGGGCCAACCAGAAGACGAAGAAGAAGGACCACAGTTAGAAGATCCAGATGAGGAGCAGCAAGAAGATGAAGAAGAGGCAGATATGCCATATGAAGAAGAAGAAGACGGCAGGCCAGAGGGCCAACCAGAAGAAGCAGTAGAAGGAAGAAGGGAGCCGGTGATCGAGGTGATCCGGATAGGAATCCCTATGAGAGGAAAGTCCCAAGAAGTAGTGCTGGAAGGAGTGGCAGAGCTCTATCTCCAGTTGAGAGCAGATGGATTTCCTGTGCACACCATGCACACGGACAGAGGCAGGGAATTCGTCAACAGAAAGATGAAGACCTGGCTGAGAAGCCGAGGTGTGATGCACAGCACAAATGCAGGAGAAGACCCAATGGCCAACGGCCGTGCAGAGCGAGCCGTGGGGGAGGTCAAAAGAATGGTGAGGAGATTGCTCCACGCCTCAGCCATGGGTGTGATGTGGTGGCCAATGGCGCTGCGGTACTTGATGGAGTCCGCGAGGCTGGAGAGAAGAGATGAGAAGAAGAACATTCCAGGATTTGGAGACAAGGTTCTTATCAAGAAGAGGAACTGGAGAACGAAGCTCCTGGAAGCGACACATGAAGTGTCACACTACCTCACGCCAGTGGTGGAGACACATGGCCACTGTGTGTTGAGGGAAAATGGAAGATGGGGAATCGCCCCTTACGTGGTGAGGAATGTGAGATACCCACCACCGCCAACTCAGCAGATGTGGCTGGCTTTGGCAGAAGAAGCGGACCGAGACGAGGTCCAAGAAAGACGAAGAATCAGAGACAGAAGGCCAATCAGAGAAGAAGGAAGGGCCAACTTGAGGTCCATCAGAATGATGCTGAAGGAAGAAGCCGCCAGCATTGAAGTTGACTCCATGGAAAATGCTCAGATGATGTTCAAGAAGATTGAGCCATGGAGGAAGCTGCTGAAGAAAGCAGAAGCACAAGAAGAGGAGATCTTGCAGACCAAGATCATTAGCCCTCAGGAGATGATCAGGGATTTACCCCTGTGGGACGCAGCGATCAAGTCAGAGATGGACTCGCTGTTCGTCCAGGAAGAAGCCTTGAAGAAGATCACAAAAGAGGAGAAAGAAGACCTCTTGAAGAAGCACCCTGAGGTGACGATTCTGCCGAGCAAGCTCGTCATCACAAGGAAGCCAGGTGGCAGAAGGAAGATCCGCATAGTCGTCTGCGGGAACTATGCTGAACGCCAAGAAGGCGAAGAGCTTTCCGCAAGAGGAAGCGACACAATTTCAATGAGGGTCGCAGTCAAGAAGGCGATCCAAGCAGGATGGGAAGGAGCCGCTGCAGACATACGCACAGCCTTCCTGAATGCCCCAATCCAGGCAGAAGAAGCAGACCTGGATGGAAGCACGGTGCTCATTGCACCTCCCTACCTGCTCACGAAGCTGGGATACACAGATCCCAATGAATGTTGGATGGCACTGAAGGCCATGTATGGTCTGCGACAGTCACCGAAGACATGGGGTGACTACCGCGACGCCACGCTCGGAGAAGTGTCATGGATGAATGGCCAAGAGGAGGTGGTGTTCAGACCGTTGGTCTCAGACCCAAATGTTTGGAAGATCGTCATCAGAAGTGACGAATTGGAGGAGGAGATGAAAGGAGTCATGCTCGTCTATGTAGACGATCTCCTCATCCTGGGCGAAGAAGGAGTAGTCCAGGGAAGCCTCAAGAGAATCAAGGAAGAATGGGACATAAGCCCACCAGAGTGGCTCGGTCCTCACAAGCCAGTCAGGTTTTTGGGCGTTGACATCTGGAAGACAGAAGAAGGCATCTTCTTGACACAGGAGAGCTATGCCAAGGATGTCTTGAAGAGGAGTGGAGATGAGAAAGAACATCTCTCAGGAGTGCCCATAACCAAGGACCAGTCCCAGAGGCTTGAGGAAGAAGACCCCCAGAAGACAGTCGAGAGCGTTCGACTGGCCCAGAAAGCCACGGGAGAGCTCATGTGGCTGGGCACGAAGACCGGGCCCGACCTGATGTTCACCCTCGCCAGGATGTCCCAATCCACCCTGAGGAGCCCCAAGGAAGTGGTGACGGTCGGAGCCCAGGCCAGGAAGTATCTCCGGAAAACCCTGGAAGAGGGACTCTGGATGAAGAAGGATGAAGATGAAGACCTGGTGGTATACACCGACTCATCCTATGGGCCTGGAGGTATGGAGTCTCAAGGCACCGTAGTGGTGATGTGGGGGAGCACTGCCATCATGTGGAAGGCCGGAAAACAGCCAACACCGGCACTGAGCACGGCCGAAAGTGAACTGGCCGAGGCAGTGGAAGGGATGATCATGGGCGACAGCGTGGATGTGATGATCCAAGAACTGGCCCAGAAACCCTATGCCAAGATGATCAAGATAGATAATCAGGCTGCAGTCAACCTGCTTGCAGAACCAGCAGGAGGATGGAGAACGAGACATCTCCGACTGCGAGCTTCCAATCTCAGATGGAGATTATCCAGGACCGACTGGATGACAGAAGCCATCCCAGGAGCGGACCAGATCGCCGATGTGGGCACCAAGGTCCTCACAGCTCCACGACTTGAAGTCTTGAAGAAGATGATGGGGATGGGAAAGATGAAGAAGGAAGAGAAGACCTCTCAGGAGGATGAGAAGACAGAAGAGTCCGCAGAGGACGAAGCAGAAGCAGAAAAGAAGAAGGCCGAAGAAAGAGAGAAGAAGATTGCCCTGGTCAAGGCGACGAACTTGATCCAGCTGGCAGTGATAGTTGGATGCATGGGGCAGGTGAATGCTCAAGGGCAGGAAGAAGAAGATCAAGAAAGGGCAGAGCTGTTTCAGGCGATGGTGCTGTTTGCCCTGGCAGTCATTGGGCTGATATCGCTGATCGAAAGGATCGCGCCCGTCCTGAGGAGGCTGTTCACAAGAAGAAGAGTTGTGAACCAGCCAGAAGAAGAAACACCCCCCGAGAGGGAAGAAGAAGATGAGGAGGAGGTTGACCCAGCGGTTCCCTTCGAGCATGGGAATCCAGCACTGCAGCCACTTCTGCCAAGAAACATTGCCAGACCAAAACCGCCACCAGCAGCACTGGTGAACAGACTCCGAACCCAAGCACCGATGATGGTCCCAGAGGACCAGCCACCAGAGATGATCCCACAGGATCAAACACCAAGGATCCAGCAGGATCAACCAGCCCGTAGCAGCAACACACCGTTGCTGCAAGCACCCCAGCCGCCATCCCAACCAGCTGAGGAGCCACCCAGATTGGTGGATGAATTTCTGGGCTCGGTAGTCCAGGAGCCAGTGGAGCACCCAGAGGATGCCAACTGGGACCAGAGTGGTCCAGGGAAAGGAAGCCCCAGACCAGCCAGCTCCGCAACCAATAGCTCCGCTACCATACCAGCCAGAGACCTCAAAGGAAGTCCCGGCACCCAAGCCAAGGGCAGATGGAGAACAGGAAAGGAAGTAGGAAAGAAGGGCCAGAAAGGAGGTCCAGCCAAAGGAAAGGCGACTGGAAGCGAAGAAGAAGCAGAAAGAGAGTATGAGGCACAAGAGCTGCCAGAAGAATGGACGCCAGAAGACCAGAGGAGGGGAAGAGGCCCCGCCTACGTGACCCAATGGGGAACCAAGTGGCACTTCCTCACAACGTGCCCCACCCTGGCCAACACGAGGGTGAAGCACCCAAGCCGATGGTGCTCTCTGTGCGCCCGCTGGCTGCACTATGATGGCCCCATCTACACAGCAGGTGTTGGGCAGACAGCCCACCAAGACCAAAGTTGCCCGAGGATCACGTCCTCAAGGACGTACCAGCAGTGCCAAATCTGCTGCGAACACTATGAAAGAACGGCTTGAGCTGCGGCTGAGAGAGGGAACGCTGCAACACGCAGCACTGTGGGAAGACCGTAAGGGTTTTTGACTTCCCATGAAATTTTGCGATTTTAATGGAGCTGGATGGAAATTCCCAGCGCCTTAGAATAGATAGGTGATCTCATGACGAACGTCTGAGATCAGGGGGAGTGTTTGGCTGACCACACATAGCCTTCACTTCACCATGCCTGCCAGGTTCACACACTCACTCAGGGGTGCATCGTAGCCGTTTGATGTCAAAAATCTGCGGCGGCGCTGACACGTGCTGCTGGGAGGAGACAGAGGACCCAGCTGAGGCCACTGAGGACCAAGGTAAGGGGGCCAACCCAAACAATATTATATATACTGTATACTACATATATATATATATATACTATGACATGTTGTTGTGGAATGGCGCCACTCACCCCGCATGGTCAGTCAATCTCAGGTATGATCGGATGCCCGTGGTGAAGAGCGAGGAGCACTGGGCGCGAGCCTTTCACGGCACGTGGTGGTACTCCGTGTGGCTGGTCCTCGAATCTGGTGTTTTCCTGGAATCCAATGACCGAGACAAAGGCAGGGATGACCAGGGACCAGGGTTAGCCGGGTACCAGTGGTACCAGTGGCATGGTCAACAGATCTCGCGAAAAAGTGGATCTCCAACCTTTTGTTGGATGAGAAGTCCAATTTCTTGTTGCATAAATCCGCCATATTTTGTGTCAGACAAGTTGATTCATAGAATTGGATGATGGGAACATTTACAGGAAACCCCTATATTTGATGGTAAAAACCATGGTTTCCTGTAGATTTTCCCTTAAACCAATCCATTGATTGATCAATCTCCCCATGTGTCTTGCACTGGTAAGGCCACGACTTCTGGGAGCCGGGTGTCTACTGCTCACCGAATCTATCGACTGCCAGGTACGGCTTGAGGTTTTTTGTTGATGGCAAGGCGATGCCATAAACAACTACCATGACTGGGAATGGTTGATACCACCCACATGGAATGGTAAAAATGGTGATATCAACCCAATGGTAAATCAATATCACCCATTTATGACTGGCAATGGTAAAAATGGTGATATTGATTTACCATTGCTTCACGCAAAATTTTTCTATAGGACTTTGGAGTTGAAGAAGACTCGGGCTCAGTTTTTTTTTTCCTAAAAAGTAATATCTAGTGTAAGAGATCTAAAATGAAATGAGAGATGTGCCTGTTTCATGATTTGGCTATGAGTCAAAACCTTGGGACCCAAACCCTAAGATAGCTATAACTGGATGGTTATTCCATGTCCATATTATTCCCCATAGTCATACAGTAATTTCATAGGTTTTGATCATTTTGGTCCCCATTTACTTCACCTTCACCTCAGCAGTCAGCAACCTGGAGGTGGTATGCTCGGCCTCACATCCTCTTCGGCGACGGAGTGTACCACCGAGTGATTTTCGAACTCCGGGTGAACGAAGAGAAGCGGATCAGGCGGGAGAGAGGTACCCGGCTTGGGGATTACCCTCTGGTAATTTAACATAGCTATGGAAAATCACCATTTTTAATGGGAAAATCCACTATAAATGGACCATTTTCAATAGCTATGTTAGTTTACCTGAGGGTATTCTATATTACCATCTGGTTATGACTAACATAGCCATGGGATAGATGGCCCATAGAAATAGATGGTTTACCCTATTAAAAATGGTGATTTTCCATGGCTATGTTAAATAACCAGATGGTAATCCATATTACTTTTTATAACGTATTAGAACCCATATAATAGAAATAATTAAGAACCAGTACAATGGGATGGTACAGTTTTTTTTTGTCATGGCTTACTTGAAGCAAGGTGAGAGAGTCTTGCACTATTTTGCAATGATGCAATACCATTCCTATCATCCCTGAATTGAATTTTGTGCAGGAACCGACAACGGGGTGGAGTGCAATGGGTCTTCAAGCCAGATGCTGTATCGCTGCATGCGGTCTGGGTGCAACGCAATGCGCCCCCTGCCAATGGCGAGGAATCAACGGACCATGTTGATGTACAACTCCAGCTTACATTTTGTAGGACTACATATCTCCATTCTGGATCATCAATCAGATTCTGTGTTGCATGGGTCTTAGATTCTGTTTCCTGAAGATATTCGACGATTGATTGCCTGGCACTTGAACTTGGATGGTGATCCCAAATTAAGACAGGTCAATAAGCATACATATGGGGGGTGTCCACAAATGGGGGTATCCCAAGATGGATGGCTTATGATGAAAAATAATCTTAAAATGGATGATTTTGGGGTCCCCCCATTTTAGGAAACTCACATAGCTTAGTTTCCCCCCTTTGTCAAATCAAATACTGTTGTGCTATTTTTCTAGGAATTTTCATTACCAGGGAACTGCACAAACATATAGCCAGCACGGCATTGGATAGGTCACAGACCCCACGGAAGCCTTGCAGAACAAGGGCGAAATCAACGGGAAACCCCTTAGTTTCCTGAAGATTTTTATTCTTTCAGCAACCCATTGTTCTTCCTCAGACATTTCTACCTAGATGTGCATGCAAATTCCAGTCGGCAAGTGAATAATAACATATGATACCCACAGTATCCCACAATAATCTAGCAATATGGTATTATTAATCACATTGATCACTTTCTAAGTCAGCAATCTGTTCATTCTTAGTCTTAAACCATTCATGTTGGGGCTCCCAAAACTTCCGGGACGCTCCAGGTTGTTCCCTGAAACCTCCCATAGGAGCGCATCAATGACTGGGATCCCAAGCTGGAGGCGCGACCATTTGGCAAAGAGCTGATTGATGCCACCCGGAGCTGGCGCTGCAGTGACGATACGAATCACTGGGACTTGGAGTTTTCGGACACTGAAGAGGATGAGCCAGGCACCAGGGATGAAGCAGTTGGGGCTGGGGTGTAGACTGTATGCAAATTTGGATGGGACCGAATGAGTCAACAAGAATGCACACGCAAATGTAGATAACCATCAGAAAACTGTCCATTCTAGCTACGTGTGCTGGGGTATGGGAGATTTTAATATAGACTCTGACCGACCATTTATGGTGATTTTAACTAACTTTTTATTTTTATTTTATTGTCTCAGAATTCGTTTCACTCAAATGGAGTACAGTACTACTATATACTACTGTAAATCAGGGATCAAACGGGCCTAGAATTGAAATTCATGGCCATGCCCACACTTCAAATCCTCAATTTTGGTCCACTTGATCTATCCCCACTGAATATCACCAAATAGCTGAATCCCGCCACTCGCCAGCAGGTGAGAAGGAGCCGGAAGATCAGCCCGTTGCTCCCCACCTCCATGCCTCCCAGCCTTGGCCCAAAGCCAGCCCTGTGCCCAGCTCAGCACCTTCCATGATCCCCGCTGCGCACCGCACTGGCGCCGGCCTCAACGGCCTGCCGGGCATGGGGCCCTTTACGCGGCGCCATGGCCACGGGGTGCTGCCTCCGCCCGGGAACATCTACGCACAGGAGGCGGCGCGGGCGAACGGTGCCCTGCCATCGCCTTGGGAGGCCAGAAATGGAAGAGCCGTGAGCCATGGCAGTTCCCATGGGCTACGGCCCATTGGAAAAGGGGACTGGGCCAAGCCGTGGCAGAACGGCGAAGGGAAGGCTCGAAACACTCCGCGGAAGCGATTTCAGCAGCCGAAGAAACGAAAGGCTGAGGAAATGGATACTGAGCTCAACTTCAGAATATTTTACATAGACTATTTTGGCATAGTCTGGTACTGGAGTCAATTGATGTTTCTCGACTTTCCCAACAGCTCAAATAATCTCAGATCTGCTTTGTGGTTCTAGCAGGGGGGATGAAAGGGGGTCCTGTAGCTTTGTGGGAGATGCTGAGTTTTATGAGACTTTTCTGTTTCCATTTTTGCTGACTGTTCGCGAAGTCTGGGTTTGCTTCTTGTGGTGCATATATATATATATATGCAGATACAAGGCACCGCCAGGCACCGCCATCAATAAAGCAGTAGAAATCAAATTTCAAAGGGTTGACCATACTTGTGGCCACTTTTGGACTGCAGTGGGTCTTGTGTTGCGAACCAGATCCGCAGAATGTGTGTGTTTGTTTGTGTGAAGCTGTCGAAGACCAAAGGATAAGAAGCAGGAGGAGGAAAAGAAGGAGGAAAAGAAGTCCGAAAATATTGATGATGATGAGGGCTTTTTGGCTTATCTCGAAAGATTGGAGCAGGAACGAAAGGAAAAGGACCGTGCTGCAAAACTCATTTCAGGGTAACCTCATATGTTCTTAAAATGTGTTCTTTTAAGCATTTGCCTTCAAACCCCCTTAGTCTTGAGATGTTTCCACGGCTTTTGGACCTTTCTTTATTTTCTTTGCTGCGCAGGAGAAGGCTGAGAAAGAGAAAGATGCTGGTTTATGCGCGGTGGCTCCTCTCAAGCTTCCCCAAACTCTGAAGTACCACAACCAGTGAAAACTGCTGTGCGGCCGTGCAGCTGGGGTGGTGTTGCGGTCTCATGTAGGGATCGATCAAATATGGTCAAACGAATTGATTTTGACCCATAGACCATGTTTCAAGAAGGTGGTAAATGTGGTCAAGGAAAAACCGGGGTACCCTATGGCAAAATGATGAAAAATGATGGTTGCTGGTTGGCATCGATTTTTTCTTGAACCAACATTTACATTTACAGTACCCCCCAAAACCATCCAAAACCAATACCCTCTGGTAATTTAACATAGCTATGGAACATCGCCATTTTCAATGGGTAAATCCACTATAAATGGTCATTTTCAATAGCTATTTTGACATAACCAGAGTGTAGTTGATCATTGTTCCTGCTAAAGTTGCCACATGGTGAATCATTCGCATCACCTTGGACAGGAGGTGACACCTGCGGACGTCTCTTATGACACGCAATATGATGGGCTTAGCAAAGGCCAGGGACGCTTGGAGCGGTCGCCAGGGACGCCACCGGAGATGGGTTGATATCAGAAATTTTCCCCATCCCCTCCATGTCCCCATTTTTTTCTGGTGGTTTGGAACATGAATTGTATTTTTCCATATATTTTTCCCATCATATTGGGAATGTCATCATCCCAACTGACGAACTCATATTTTTCAGAGGGGTGGCTCAACCACCAACCAGTTTTTGATTATCCCATTTTGTGGATGTGGGTACCAAAAAATGGCCATGATTTCGACGGATTCCGTGGCTCAGGTGGAGAGGCGACGGTGGGTGGCCCAAGTGCCGCTCCATTCTCTGCCCTGTGATGATTCCGCGCTTCGTAGATCAAGGATTTTTAGATATGTTTAGTATTTGTTAGTCATATCCAAACATATCCAAACATATCCAAACATATCCAAACCACCATCAAGCCAATATCAAGCCATCCCCGTTCTTGGCTGCGAGGCCTCAGCGAAGCTTTCAAGAATGCTGCGCCAGGAGGCGCCGGAAAATGATGGGAACATGATGGCAAAATGATGATCAACTCACTGATAGACATGGATTAGACATAACATAAGACCATATATATATATATTATACATACATATTATATAACATATACATACATACATACATACATACATACATACAGCATACATACATACATACATACATACATTCATACATGCATGCATGCATGCATGCATGCATACATACATACATACACACATACATACATCCATACATACATCCATACATACATACATACATCCATACATCCATACATCCATCCATACATACATAATTCCATACATCCACACATCCATACATCCATACATGCATACATGCATACATGCATACTTGCATACATGCATACATACATACAGACATACATCCATCCATACATACATACATACATCCATACATCCATACATCCATACATCCATACATCCATACATCCATACATCCATACATGCATACATGCATACATGCATACATGCATACTTGCATACATGCATACATACATACCTACCTACCTACCTACCTACATACATACATACATACAGACAGACAGACAGACATACATACATACATATTATATATAATATATATAATTATATATATATACATACATATTATATAACATATATATACATACATACATATAATATAATATATATATATTTATATACATACATATTACATATAATATATACATACATATGATATATACAATATACATACATAACATAACATAACATACCATAACATAACATAACATTACATTACATTAAATTACATAACATTAAATAACATTACATAACATTACATTACATAACATTACATAACATTACATAACATTACATAACATTACATAACATTACATAACATTACATAACATTACATACCTTACATTACCTTACATTACATTACGTTACGTTACGTTATGTTACGTTACATTACATTACATTACATTCATACATTCATACATTCATACATTCATGCATACATACATGCATGCATATTATATTTATATATTATACATACATATTATATACTGTATATATATATATATCGTTTTTGTTGGGGGTTCCATATACAATATATATATATATTTGGAGAAACCCACAACTCGCTGTATTGGACTTGGCTTCTTTTCCAGGCGGCGTCGAGACGACCACTCAGCCGCCACTCAGCTGAGTCATAGGGGGCTTTCCATAGTCATGGGGGTACCCCAATAGCTGGTCAATGATGGTTAATGATATCATTAACCATCATTAACCAGCTATTAATGATGATTAATGATGATTAATAATGGTTAATGATAATGACTGATGGTTCATGATGATTAATGATGATTAATGATGGTTAATGTTTATTTCATGGAAAACCCATCCATGGATGATGACATTTTGGTTACCCGGGTTACCCCTTTTTGAGACCTCGGAAAGCTCCATGATTCTCCCTCGGAATCTGACTGTGAAGATGTGAGAGTTGCCATGGAAACTGCCAGATCTCAGGGTTGCTCCCTTCCAGCCAGGTGAGTCAGCCGACGAAGCGAGCCGAAGAACGGCGCTCTTCAGGAGATCCTGGAGATCACATGATATCACCATTCGAAAGAACAGCTATAGCAACCCATAGAGCAGTGAAATTCTACGAAAATAGTGAGTCAAATGTTTGTGGGAAGGCTTACCTCAAGATTCTCGAAGAGCTGCTCCCATCGTTTCCCTTCCACCAATCCATTGAGTTGAACGACGCCAGGCAGGCTGCGACTGAAGGACTCTCGACTGAGATGGGTGGAGATGCCATCCCCACCATCTTTGTGAATATGGACCTCTCCATAAGACACCCTTAAAAAGATCCATAAAAAGTGGTGTATTTCTTCAAATCCCTTCAAAGTTCAACAATGTTCAACGTGTCCTACTTCTTAGTTCATTTTATTCTGATTTTATTGTTGTTTCCCATGGCCATCGCAAATTTTCACCAGGGTGACCATGGCCATTTGGAGCGCGGTCCTCGACATCCAACCTCTCAGGTGTCCACGACGTCCACGAGAAGCCACGGGCCACGCTCCTTGGCGTATTGAACACCTATATCCATCATTATCCATCTACATCCACCAGTGTTTCTGGGGGGTGTTTAACCCTTGAAAAACCACGAACCATGGTTTCTGGGTGGTGTAAAAAACATGAATACTTCTGATGGTGGAAGGGATTCAGTACTGTACCTCACATTGTAAAACACTGTAGATTTATCATGAACTGCAGGTCCTGCAGGGTGAGATTTCTGAAAGCCCGAAAGCCTGACATCCAGAACTGACCAGCGCCAGGTCGCAATCGCGTCGAGAAAGACGGCCAACGTTGGCGGCCAGTCGCAGCTATCAGAAGATTCACGTGAGCCCAAGACGGTCAGAGCCAGATTCTTTCGCCGGATTCAGCAATTCTGTGTATTTTTTGATATTATGAGACATGTATATCCTGATGTTTCTGAAATTCTCAAGCATTTCTTCAGATTTCAAAATGGAGGGCTAATTATTTTAGGATTTTTTTTTTTGATCAGGTTTAGGAATTATTTTTGGATTCCTGCTTCTCTGCTTTTCCTGCTTTTCCTGCTTCTCTGCTTTCCTGCTTTTCCTGCTTTTCCTGCTTCTCTGCTTTTCTGCTTTTTTGCTTTTCTGCTTCTCCTGCTTCTCGCCTTTTCTGCTTTTTTGCTTTTCTGCTTCTCCTGCTTCTCTGCTTCTCTGCTTTTCTGCTTTTTTGCTTTTCTGCTTCTCCTGCTTCTCTGCTTCTCTGCTTTTCTGCTTTTTTGCTTTTCTGTTTTTCCTGTTTCTTTGCTTCTCTGCTTTTCCTGCTTCTCCTGCTTCTCTGCTTTTCCTGCTTCTTTGCCTTTCTGCTGTTTTGCTTTTGTGCGTTTCCTGTTTCTTTGCTTCTCTGCTTTTTTGCTTCTCTGCTTTTTTTTGCTTTGCCTGCTTTAAAACTTGATTTTCATGTAAGATGCATTTTGCACAGTATTTAAATCCCTGAGTATCACATGACCAACCTTCTCTTGAAAACTAGCAACGTAACATGTGAGAAGAGGTGCTTGCATTCTGCTTTGGGGGGAGGCGCTGCGCCCTGCCCCCAATCCCCCCCTCCCGCTTTTTTTAATTTAAACTTAAACCCAAGTTACATTAGTTGGTTTTTGCGAACTAACCTTCTCTGGAAAGCTGACAGGATTACATGTGATAGATAGATAGATAGATAGCTAGCTAGATAGATAGATAGATAGATAGCTATAGATAGAGATAGATAGATAGATAGATAGCCAGCTAGATAGATAGATAGCTAGAGAGATAGATAGCTAGATACCTCGATAGATAGATGGCTAGATAGATAGCTAGATAGATAGATGGCTAGATAGATAGCTAGATAGATAGATAGCTAGCTAGATAGATAAAGAGGTAGCTAGATAGATAGATAGATCGATAGATAGAAAGCTAGATAGCTAGATAGCTAGATAGATAGTTAGCTAGATAGCTAGATAGGTAGATAGATAGCTAGCAAGATAGCTAGCTAGATAGGTAGATAGCTAGATAGATAGATAGATAGATAGCTTGCTAGATAGATAGCTAGCTTGCTAGATAGATAGCTAGCTCGATAGCTAGATAGCTGGATAGACAGCTGGATGGCTAGATAGATAGATAGCTAGATAGATAGAAAACTAGATAGCTAGATAGCTAGATAGATAGTTAGCTAGATAGCTAGATAGGTAGATAGATAGCTAGCAAGATAGCTAGCTAGATAGGTAGATAGATAGCTAGATAGATAGATAGCTTGCTAGATAGATAGCTAGCTTGCTAGATAGATAGCTAGCTAGATAGCTAGATAGCTAGCTAGCTGGATAGATAGCTAGCGCCCTCCCTCAATCCCCCCCCACCCGCTTTTTATCTAATCCCAAGCTTCCGCATCTGTAAATATTTGGGTGAACATGCTCACATGTAGAACATCCCATGCAAAATGGAAGGTGAACATGCCAAAATGTGGCAAATACCATACAAAATGGAAGGTGAACATGCCCACATGTAGGAAATCCCATGCAAAATGGAAGGTGAACATGCCAAAATGTGGCAAATACCGTACAAAATGGAAGGTGAACATGCCCACATGTAGTAAATCCCATGCAAAATGGAAGGTGAACATGCCCAAATGTGGCAAATACCATGCAAAATGACAAATTCAAGTTCCAAACCGTTGCAAACACTAGGCAAATGGTACCAGCCAAGAAATCCAAAAAAAAATCCCAAACCTGTTCAAAAAAAAATCCTAAAACTATTTCACACCCTTTCAAAATTCTGTTCTCCCAGAATTGGTTGAAGGAAACTAGGAATGTATATATATATATATATATTTGGATTGCAGGGGTCAACATCCAAAAAAACTGCGGTATTTCCTGTCGGTTTTTCCCCCAAAAAATCCTACCAGCCAAGAATCCGGAAGTCCTTCCAGCCGACCTCTTAGAGTTGCCGAAAGCTCCGCAGCCCGCGCAGCCCGCGCAGCCCGCGCAGCCCGCCGCAGAAAGCGCTCCGGTGGAGGATGTGGCAGGTGGGTCAGAAGGGGCGGCCTGGTGGTTTGGAGAAACAATAATCCCTTAAACCGTGTTTTTTTTTTTTGGATTTACAGATTTTACCGATAAATTGAGACCATATAGTTTTTTTTTTTTTAGGGGGATGGGATCGATTAAATTTATGGTAAACGGATGTAAAAATTGTTGAAAAGTGGCCGTTGCGGCCAGAAACTTCAGGCAGACATGAACTTGGAGCAAACATACCCTCTGGTAAACTAACATAGCTATTGAAAATGGCCATTTATAGTGGATTTACCCATTAAAAATGGTGATTTTCCATAGTTACGTTAGTTTACCAGAGGGTAACGGATAAGAGCTCTATTGATAAACCAACAATTAAAACCTTCACGTACTATTTCTGAACGGGTGTTCCGCTAGACAAAACCCTGCTTTGGGGTGCCCAATACTGGAATTTAATGTTTATGGAATGGGAATTAGTCATCGACATGCATAAACGAATCATATTAATTTAAACCATCATCACCATTGATGGACCCAACTGGTGCGGGGAAATGACGATTTATAACTGAATCCATTTACAAGCCATTTGTTGGATCATCAACAATTTATAAACCAAATTGTTCACCAACAATGTTTCACAATGTTGATCCATTGATCATTGAACCAAAATCTCAAAATGAAGAGGATTTCACCAGCATCACTCATTATAGTTGTAATATGCTATAATCATCAGTATCAAACATGTTCAGTATTATTTATCTCCATCACATCATCATTTTATCAAGCGTTTATCAACTAACTATAACCAATTATTGACTTCACTGGATTTCTTCAAGGAAAATCCACAGGAATCCACAGGAAACCGTGAGTTTACCCATCAACGAGAAAGGTTTCCTGAAAAAACACCTGAAGTCAATGGATTGGTTTTGATCGCTTTGGATGGGGTGAAAGGTTCAACCAACTACCTAAGAAAACCCTGGATTACATTGATATCATCATTGATTATCCTGAAAGTCAAATGACTCCTTTTTCCCCACCAGAACAATGATAATCCACAATTAACCCGGGGGCAACATATGGCAAAATGAGTCACGGGATTCTCTGAGAAACCGTGGTTTGGGAGGGGGATGATTTACACAATGTTTTGTCCTGATTTGTGTGTGCCCCCCCCAAACAATAAAGGTTGGGTGCAAACAAGTTGTTCTCCAGAAAAACAAATCTGCACTCAAGTAAGGATTTCAATTGGCGACAATTGAAATCTAATTCGAACTCCGATTTTTGTTTGAAAGCGCTTGTAGTACTTGTAGTATTTGTAAGAGTTTGCCTCAGAAATTCCATTTTTTAAAAAATTGGTCTCCCAAAAATTCTTGCCACAATAGTGAACCTTCCAAACATTGCTGGGGCCCTGAATAATTTGGAAAAATTGGCCACAATAGCGAACCTAGACAATAATCAGGATACAACATTATTTGGGACCATAGAATGGGGGTGTTTTAAATCAAGATGGCTTTGTTTCGTCTTCCATCACATTGGAATCTTTGAACCAAGTACCAATGCCAGTGACCTCCTGGAACCATTTGCAATAATCTGGGCAACCCAATAAAATATATATATATATATGTATGTATATATCTATCATTTGGGGTTGGTTTACAGCACCCATCAGAATGGTGATTTTGGGGATCGTTTATTGGGTTTACCACATTAATCAAGACATATCAAGACCCAGCAAATGTCCATCGCTATCTGTAGGTCACCTTGACATGCCGTCCATCTCCACCCCTGGCCGGCGCGACAAAACGCTGCCGGCGGCGGCCATTCCGGCGCCGGGGAAGCTGCGAAGCCGCACTGCGTGGAAAAAGGTGGGATGTTTGGGGAAGATTTGGGGAACCTTTGAGTCATTTTGGGGAAACTTTGGGGATTGGATTGGATCAAGGCCAATTTCGGGCGAGGCAACCAAAAAATGGATATGGAGGAGTCACACCAATTTGTTTTTGGGATCACCAATAAATCCAACAAATAGATGTGCTTTGTTGTTGTTTTAAAGTCCCAGGGTCCCAGCTGGGAGGACAGCCACCATAGCCAGGCCCTGGTAGCGGCCCACCAGGCGCGCGCCACGCTGGCAGAGCTGGAAACGCGGCAGGAGTTGCTGACGCCGCCCAAGTTGAGCCGGGACAAGGAGGTGCGGGGGTCCGGAGGAGCAGTGGCTAGTTGCCTTAATGAGTGTAGGCTGTAGGGTTTTATGTGGGTTTTATATTATCCCAGAGATTGAGAGATATTTGAATGGTGTTGAAATATTTTGAACGCTGTTCCGATGGGTTTGGTTGGGGTGGATTTCAGCTGGGCTAGATGAATTGCAATTTCGGCACGAGTTTTGCAAGGATCTCGGAGTCCCCCACCATGGGCCGAGGCAACACGCGCCGCGTTCAACGAGGAAGCTGCTATAACGCTGGAGTTGGACAAGTTGCAGTTGCTCGGCATGGTCAAGACGCATCATTTGGTTGTGGGTCAGCATGTACCTCCTGAAAACCTAGAACCCCTGAAAAAGGGGTTGCAAGACAATTTCCACGCGATCATCTGGATTTTCTTTTAACTTTCTAGGGCGAGCATGTCAGTTTTGAAGTGCTCAGACAGGCAATTTTCTGGGAGCCCGGCGTGCGGCGTGCCTGATTTTCTGAATCGTTGACACATCCCCATGTCGGCCTTTCTGGAGAAGTTCTGTCAACAAGCCACCCTGTTGTGTAAACATGTGCAAGCGAAACATATCAAGTCATGGCATGTCATGGCTAAACTTTCTGCAATACACACCGGCTTGGGAACATCCAGTGCCGTTCGCAACTCGTGCCGTTCGCAGCCAGGTTACTTCAAGATCAGCAAGAGAAGAAACTGCAGCGCTTCCTGGATGGAAATCTCATCTCCAGCCTTTCCAATCTCTCGGAGGACATCTCCATGGGACGGCGGCTCTCCCTCCCTGCGGATGTGGCTGATCGGCGGGTCAGCAAGCTGGACTTAGCGCGGGATGCAGCGAAGTTGGCTTCGCAAAGCATGGCCAGGCAGGGAAACGGTGTCTTGGGAGAGCGGCAGTGGTCGGAAGTAGTGGGGACTCTGGTGAAAAATAGGCTGTTCAAGCGGTGGTTAAAAACAGTGGTTTAACCACAGCTGGTTGCATGCAAAAGATCCGTGCCAAAGAAAAACGTCATCCCCAGGGATGTTCGGCCTTTGGACATCTCTGCTACGGCGCTGGGTTCTCCCTCGGGTCCATTGAGGAGGGGATACCCAGCGCGAGGATGTGCAGGTAGCCACCCTGTTGGGTGTTCTTTGCTGGTATAACTTGCTGCTTTTGAGCTGTTCTGATATTTGGATATAGTTGGCATATAAACGGATCAAAATAGATCAACACAAATCAAAATAGATCAAAAATCAAACTAGATCAACATAGTCTAATCAGATGTCTTCAGGATTTTTCATGGATTTCCAGAAATCTTAGCATATCTTCATCCCCTCCAACCATCCACCAGGTCACCCCCATAGATCTTGACCCCTGAGGACCACTGCAGCATCGGCCTGCGATCATGCGGGTCTCGAGGCCCTGGAGCCCTTGGAGCGACCGCAGCTGGAGGCGATGAGCCGCTGGATGGCTGCCAAACCATCGAAGTGTTAGGAGCTACCGCAGGGTAATAATATGTACCCTCCGGTAAATAAACATAGATCCTGAAAATCACCAATTTTTAATGGAAACTAATCTTCCAACCCCTATCTGCCAGGGTCTATGTTAATTTACCAGAGGGTAATCCCCAAAAAGATAGAGTAAAATTCTGCTAAAGCTGTGATAAATGACTATAGACTATAGTTCATACTATATAGTTCTATATTTTTGGGAAATAATTGAAATAGTAATTACTAGAAGCGAAGATAAATCCGAAAATCATGTTTTTGTTGCCATTGAATATGGGGGAGCGAAGATGCACCACCACTTCAATATGGGGTAATGTGCTCAACATGTTTTGAACATATGAAGCAAACAAACACATTTCCACTGGATGATTTGGAAGATGTGTGATCATAGAGGCCGCTTGGGAACAGTGAAGGGCTGTTTCTGGTACGATATAAAAGTAATCCCTTCAGTGAAGGGGTTACTTTTATATAGTACCAGAGACAAGGTAGTGGAATATCGTGCCCAGCTAAAAAATGAAGCTTTTTCTGGGTGTTGTATCTAATGAGAGCAAACTAGCAATTATTTATGGACCGCTAATGTGTCTTCAACTGCCTTAGATTAAACTCTGCATCTTAAACAATGAAATTTTAGAGCTAGATTGAGCCAGGGCCACATATCCAGCAAACCGTCGTCCCATGGACGGCTGAGATCATGTTTCTTTGGAGTGGCAGAAGTATGTTCATGGGACCTGGTTTTAGAAAAATACAGCGACCCCAGATTGATATTTCAGATGGTCAAGGACGACATGGCTGCCTCTGATTTTCCTGAAACCATTGACATTGGACTCAGTACAATGAACTGCTATAGTAAACATCATTCATTGAGGGGGGTTGGATTGGAAATGATTGGAATTTATTCTTATTTTTTCATCTTTCCTCAGTTGCCTTCCTCTAACGATGCTGGGATGGCAAATTTCCCAGGTGAAGTCCGACAAGTCCTTTGGGGCGCGAGCCTCACCTCGCCGCAAAGGCTGGGTTAAGCTATGGTAAACTCAAGGATTGGATGGTTTGCTACAGAAACATGATTTACCCTTCACCCAATCAACATAGGCCCTGAATGACCCTGAACATAGCCCAATTTTGAGCGGAAACCAATCTTCCAACCCTCTACTTGGAACCATTCCATCCCATTCCCAGATTTGCAGACGCTTGGCTCAGAATTGAGTCGCATCTCCATGTTTCAAGCGATGCTCAGGGACAAGATTGCAGCGAAATTGTCAGGACATCATTATGACAGAGTCAAAGCTGGAATTATACGCAGTGTCTTTTCAGTGTCACAATATGCATTTCTATCATTTCTCCATCTGGGTGGTCTCAAAATTCCAAGAAATCAGCCCCAAGCATGGCCCCAATGGGGCGCAAAGATATCCTTAAGTGGCCCTCACAGCAGCCGCTGGGAGCCATGTCGCGGGATGATCTGCTGGAGCAGCTACGAGGTATTGGTATGCCATGTGTTCTGGGAGGTGCTTCCGCCGAAAGATGTGACTGATTGTTTAAGATTGTTTAAGCATTTTTAAACATGTTTAAACTATCTCAACGAAATATACATTCGACATCATTCGACTTGAATACTTAAACTATCTTAAACTATCCTAATTCCTAAACTCATTATTGAGTCACTATGTGTGTTTCTGCAAATGATGCATGAATGACCTTGTTGTGCGATGTTTGAAGCCCTTCGCAAGCTGGCCATTCAATCAGGCAGCGTCCTGTCGTTTGCCGCGTTTCTGCTACATCGCAATGAGCAGAGTTTGAAGAAGGCCCGACCTTTCTTTGCTGCTTCTGTAAGTCAGGTATTCCTGGGTTTATCTATTGACGATTGGCATATCTAATACATAAACTATTGACCATAACTAACCAGAACTATTGACTATTGATATTGGAACATCGAATGTTTGGACCATAACCATAACTATTATACTATTGACAATTGGTAATTGGTATATATAAGATATATAAGGGTATCAAGATGTATCAATACATTTGGTCACCAGTTTTCCACAACGGGACCATCTCCACAACGTGTTGCAGCTGGTGACGCCTTGAGGAACTGGAGATCATCCGTTCAATGACCACCTCCAGCGACTTCGTTAAGCTGGACCTGGCGGCGTGGTCGGAGCGAAAATGTTCGAACACCAGAAAAATGCATTAAAGGAAGTGCAAAATCTCAACTGAAGCATTTCTTTGGTTCTACTAAATTTCTAAGGATTCCCCTGCAAGTCCAAAATTGGACGGCCAAAATACTTCAAATCACAGCCCCAATCCATTTGTCTGGCACCCCCACTGGCCAACCAAGCCCTATAAATCATGCTTACTAAGAGGGCTTTAAAAGAGTTTTGCAATTTTTACGATCTTCATCAATCTTCTATATCCCCAACACTATAGAAGATAGTTGGATAGATTGGATCTATATGTTCGGATATTCTCCATATTTATGGATTATAATGATAATCATCGAGATCATCTTCAATAATTGGAGAAGATCCCAACATATAATATATAGAATCATATATAGAATCCCTAAATTTTCCAGATTATAATCATTTATAATCCACTATTTCTACAATATCCAATATCCCAAATATAAATAGATCCCAGGCCGCACAGATGAGGCCTCGACACCGTCCTTGCCGCGGCGCGCGGCAGTGCTGCGCCGTCCTACGTGGAACTCAGCGGCGAGACCTACACGGAGGAACCGCTGAAGAGCCAGGACGGGGTGGCTGCCCTGGCACTCTCCAGGAGGAAGTTGCCTGGCAAAAATGGGGAAAAACCGGGAAATAGATGGAATATTGTGGAATATATATGACGTACATGTGTAATATAATCATATAATATAATATAATGTAATATAATATAATATAATGTAATGTAATATAATATCATGTAATGTAATATAATATCATGTAATGTAATGTAATATAATATAATGTAATATAATGTAATGTAATGTAATGTAATGTAATATAATATAATGTAATGTAATATAATATAATATGATATAATATAATATAATGTAATATAATATAGTATAATGTAATATAATGTCATGTAATATAATATAATATAATGTAATGTAATGTAATATCATATAATAATATAATATCATGTAATATAATATAATATAATGTAATATAATATAATATAATGTAATATAATATATAATTATATATGTATATATATATATGTAATAATGTAACCCATAAATACATATTTGCATGGAAATATATGGAAGTATACATCGAATTGAATTGGATATATTTGTAATTATGTATATTTACCCTAAAATTCTAAAGACCTAACCAGTATAGGTCTCAGACTAAAGACCTAAATGCAGAACAAAAGACCTGAACAAGGACCAGGGATATAATAGCCTTAAAACGGTATGTTTTTGTTGTTTTTTGCCATCAAGAGTATCCAGATTGAAACCTTGGTTCATGCTGACGATTTCTAACGCACTTCATTTTGCCTCCGTCACGTGCCCATGCTTAAGTTCTTGTGAGCCCGTCGGCATGTGATTTAATCAAGGCAAACATGTCCATCATCCATGCATGAATCATTGCCGATCAGATTGTTGCCAATTTTTTTGGGGTGGGGATCCTATTTTTTTTGCAAGAGAAACAACATGAACATAAGTCGAACATCCTGGTACCCCTGTCCACGTTCTAGATCATTTTTTTGACGGTCTGGTTTTTCCACGGTTTGTTGATGCTCATTTTTCCCATTACCCATAGGATCCATGTGTGCTATATAATGTAACATTTACCATCAATATACCCCCAATGTTAGCATATATACCATACATGGATCCTATGGGTTATGTTTTAGAATGTTTTGGAAACTTTGTCAGTCTCTTCTAAATTGTTTCAGCGGCACAGGCTGTGTTTTTACTATCACAGTTTCAAGAAATTGACTTATGATGGTACATCAGGCCCTTCTAGGGCTTCAACTCAAAGTACCGGGTGGGACCTTCCAGCATTCGGCTTGGCTGTGCACATCATTGAACCCCTGCTGCAGCCTTCCCTGGATAGGTCCCAGGATTGATGTTAAATTTAGGTCTTTCGACAAACGACCTATATTTAACATCTATACGCAATAGGTCTCATGCACAGGGTTTAGGCCCAGTCTGATGGTTAAGCCAAACTGACGATATATGACGATATTTTTACAGATATCTGGCTGATACACTGGCCGAAGATTGCACCCACGAAGGTTGGCCAAGATGGAAAGATACGTTTGGAAGAAGGGCGAGCCGATTTACGAAACCAAAGTCGCTCGACTTCCAAGGTCTCCAGGCACTGCTTCCCTTGGGCCCCTTGATCAAATTTGACATATGCCAGATTCTTTTTAACCATTGGAATATTCCAAATGAAGAAAACAATTAATTACACTACATGTATTCCAATTTTCCACATCCAATATAGCAGTTCTTTTTTCAGTTGAATTTCGAGATTGCCCAACCTTTGGGTTCCCATTTCACCAGCCCCTGGTTCCCATCAGTTGGGTCCAGGAAATGGTCATCGATGGGCAGCGGCAGATGCAGACGGTGAACACCGGCCGCAGGGAGAAGGGCCATTGGATCCCAACGGTGGAAGCCACCGAGCTGGAAAGAAAGACCCTGGTGGCTCCAACTGGACCTCTGGACTCGAAGGATTGCCAATACCATTAATGGGTGAAGATGCGGAACATTCATGAACATTCCCCATTGAATAAGGGTTATATTAATGATTATATATATATATATGATTATATAATAAATAATCAGTTCCCACCCCAGCGGCACTTTGACCCCGAGAATCAATGCAGACAAGTGGCAGGGATCAGTGGTGAGTTGGAGAGATGGTAGTTGGTGTGATTTGGCATGGACAACTTCGAAATGGGGATTCAACATCATGTGCAGCCATTCCTGATGAAACCATTGACCCTCTCCAGATCAGTTCCGGCAGTTGCCGATTTGGTGTAACGTCGACCACCTATTGTTGGTGAACTGTTTCAGAATATGTATATAGTTTCCAGGTACAGAGGAATCAATGTCCACACTTAGGATTGTCATCCTTTCTGACATCCACAGCTGGTGTTCTCATACTTCCATATTGTGGGTTTGTCTGAAAACACGGTATCTCAAAAATTGATGGTTGATTAATGTTGATTATGCCTGGCCCCATTGAATTGTAATTTTGGAGGTATACCGGTATACCCCAATTTTGGACACAGCCATAGAATGTCCAAGGTCTGACAAGCCAATGTGTGATCCAAGGAATCTGCTTCCGTCAGCTGGGAGCTATGCAGGGCATGCTGACGTCGCCCAAGCAGATTTGCCTTGATTTGGGGAAGTTCCAAGTGAATGACCTCCTGAAGTGCCAGGAGGAAAGCGTCACCTATCAGCCGAAACTTGGGTCTCAACGATCTCAACTTGTTTGGTTTGATGCTGTTATTTTCTGATCATGGGGTAGTTTGATGGAAGGAGATGGTTTGGAAACATCTTGACAGAGCAGACATGACAGACCTTTCTTTTCTCTTTGTTGAGGTTTCCGCATGGTTTGCTCAAAGTACCTCCTGTCCCTTTTCAATCGGCTGCATGTCCTGCATGGGATGTCAAAACCATGAAACGTGTCTACTCATAGCGTATAAAAACTACTAATAGTGTATAAAATGCTGCTAATAGCGTATGGAGCTACTAATAGTGTATAAAAGGTCACTCCGACCGTAAACTGGAGATACCTTGAGATACTCCCTTTCTAGCCCCGTACCTTGAGATACTCCTTTTCTAGCCCCGTACCTCTATGAATGACAGTTATACGCTTGGAGTGACCCAGTTTATACGCTCTTCGCGACTCAAGCTTTTACGCCATTAGTGACCCAGTTTCATACGCTCTTAATCCACACCCTCCGAAACCATGGTTGAAGAACTCCTATTAGATGATCCTCCAGCAGCATTCGCTGTGGCCACGAGCTGTCAACACCTTCATTGCCCAAATTGGACATGACTGCTTTCAAATTTAGAGTTTTGCTTCCATCATGGCATCTTAGAGATCGGATACTAGTGCTAAGGAATGAAGCTGTCTCCGTGAGCGTCAACGTCAACTCAGATGCTTGACATGGTCTTTGAGCGAGGTTTTGAAGAACACCTGCAGGTATGTTCAAACTTCAAACAAACAATTTGCGCAGCTACAGTATGATGGTATCTACTGAAAAGATAGATTATTTTTTGCATATTATAGCAGGGCACCAAGTATGGCATGATGTTCCGGGACCATTTTTTGGGGGTTCCTACCATGGGGGTACCCCTTCCTAGCCTAAAAAACCAGCCACGAGCTCGGGGCTAAGGACTCACCCCCAGCCTCCCGAGTCTTGGGATATGAAATCCGCGAACGGCTGTTGCCCATGGGCCAAGAGATCTACGCCTTGGGCAACGTGGCATGGCGCTTCCGTGCATCTGTGGGCATCAGCCAAGGCAATGATGTCGGTTCTTTCAAAGTGGTGAAAAGTGGTCCAATGGTGGCCGCCAAACATCGCCAAACATTGGTAACATCGCCAGATTGGGATACCCTCTGGTAAACGTTTACATAACTATGGAACATCACCATGTTAAATGGGAAAATCCACTATTTCTATGGCCATTTTCCATAGCTATTTTGACATAACCAGAGGGTAATCATCCGAAATGGATGACCCATGGACCCATTTTGTGACTCCAGGCGAGGGATCTGTGGCAGTGTTGCAACCCGCTGAGGCCTGGCTGAGGGTTTAATGTGGATTTTTTTTAAATAAGAAACCTCTAATTTTGTTGGATTCGTACCACCCATTTCATCCCATTTCTATAATATGACTTCTAAATTTTGGGGATGGTTTATGACATTGGGCTTAGCAACATGAAACCATATCCAATTATATCCAATGTATAGGCAATGTTCATGGCAGTGTTTGATGAGGCTTCAACCCAACATCTCCAATTTATGGAGTTTTATGGATTTTCAATGATTTTCATGTCCTAAATTAGGTGCTAAATGATGATTAACTATGATAAACTGATACAATCTATAGGATTTTCATGGATTTCAGAGATTTGATGATTTTTGGACAAAGCGATGGAGGCACTTTTGGTAGCTTTGAGGATTCCGCAGATGTAGCCAAAGAGCCACCAAAAGCATCCAAGAAGTACTGCATAATTGATTACTTGTTTATGTCAACGTTATGTTTATCTGGTTTGTATGGAATAGAACATAATAGAACCATCCAATTTTGGAAACATGGTGGTTCTATTCAATACAAAATGGACCCAGCATTTGGGATTTTGGTTGAGTTCATCCCAAGCCCAAGGCGGACAAGCCGAGCGTCTTCAGCCTGGGCTCTCGCGCAGAGATCTTGCGACAACGCCAAGCAAAGGTGGACTCGAATGGGACCATGCTCTACCTGATGGGCAGCCTTGGTTCTATGGTTGCCATTGGTTTTTTCATGACTTTTGAAGTCTCGTTTTCAGGGGAAAAATGTGGGAAAACTAGGGAAAATGGTTGATCTCCATTTATGGATCCATTTGGATGGAAGTGACATGATGATGTCCCAATGGGGCCTTTTCTTCGGGCAAGCTGAATTTTGCCAACCTGCACATGGGGAGAGGAAACAGGGGACTTCTTCCGAACCATGACAACCATGGCATGCTGCTTTACATGCGTCCATTATGCCATAATCGCTCTTCGTCGAATCTTGCCATCGGATTGTTGCACATCCAAGGTGCATCTGGCATCCTGGTCGGTTGCATCTCCATGTTTGTTGGAAGCCGCTCGTAAGAAGCGAATGGCTTCAGTTGCTCGCGCAACCATTCGATTTGAAAAGGTGCTGCTGAACCGGCTAAGCCATGGCGGTGAAACCTCTGCATTGGACAGAATAGTAGATACTCTGATGATGTCTCGAAATCGCAGTCTTTCAAATGTACCCTTTGATAGTCCAACAAGGCTAACAATTGACACTTTTACAATGTTTGAGATGACTTTCCTGCTGAACATGGCCATTTCCAGTTTGACCCAAACCCCAGATGCAGGTCAGCAACCACAGCAGAGCCAGTCAGCTACACCAAGGCAAAGGTTCGATCTCTTAGTGCGGGCATGGGATCAAGAAAAACACAGTAGTTCTTAAGATGGAAAAATTGTTTCAACGCGGTTTCACTTAGTTTACACGCGGATTTTGCTGGTAACCATAGCAAGCAACCAGCTGCGAGTTGTTAGCATCACTTTTCATGCACATCAGATGCAAGGCTAAGATAGGCTAAGGATTAACAGGAGCCATATTTTTAGCATTTTTTAGCACTGATGACAGCCATGAACCTTTAGGGTCCCAGTGATCAGAGTACCAAATCAGATCCCAAGGCGGCCAAGCGCGGTACAATCATCACCGCGTCTCAGCAGCAATGGTTTGTAGCAATGTTGTAGTGCAACGACTGCCTGAATTCTGGCATGAAGAGGTTCCTGTTGGTTGACAAGAGATATTGTTGAATGATTGGGATGCCCCCACGACCTTCAGAATGTTTGATCGAGTTTTGATGTTTAATGACACACGGGGGAGCTGATCGAAATGATTCCCTTTTTTCGTCTTCTCACCTCCAGGAGAAAGGCCGGTGACGGACGATCTGTAGAGGCCTCGGTGTGTTTGACCACTCATCATGGAAACTCGATGAAAGTTGACCATGGAATAAATGCCCTAAACATAGGTCTATCCCACCTTCGTCTGGTGCAAGTCTTTATTACCCTCCAGCACTATTATTGTAATGTTATTGTAATGGAACATCGCCCGGATTTTCAATTAGGAACAAAATAAGTGCTCGCTTTCATATAATATAGTTAGAATGATAATATATATAATATATATATATATAATATATATATATATAATATATATAATATATATATATATATATAATATATATATATATATATTATAGACATACATATACATCATATATACATCCTAGGTCCTATATTCATCATATATACATCCTCTATACATCCTCTATACACGTGTATGATAATTACTTAATATGCTTTAGGGATGGTTTTTCATCCCTCCTTCGGGATCAACGGTGAATAAGGCGAGCCCCGGCCTGGCGCGACGGAAAAACAGCCGCGGCACGCAACCCATGTCGCAGAAGGTGTCCAAAGGGGTTGGGCACTATGGATGATATATGGGTTACATAATATGGATTATATATGGTTAAGGATGATGGTTAACACTGGTTCATAATGGTTCATAATGGTTAATAATGATGGTTAACACTGGTTCATAATGGTTATAATAATGATGGTAATACATATATTATATATATAATATGCTTAATGATGGTTAATGATGATGCTTAATAATGATTATATAATCATGTCCAAATTAATAATTGTGGGTTATGTATGCTGAACATCCCCCAATGACCCAATGGTTCATAATGGATGGTTTACTGGTGCTTTACCAACATTTGGGCTTCAGAGATATCAAATGAGTTTTTTTTTTTCAAGTGACCATTTATTGATAGGGATAATGATGATTAATCAATAGATTTGGGTGTACTAGCCTCTGGTCATCGATAGCAATGCCCATTTTCAATGAATAGGTCAATCATGTATAGATTTGCAATTTTTCGTAGCTTTGTCAAATTGCCATAGGGAATCCAAATTGAATCATATTCATATTGCATTGCATAGCAGGATTTATCAGTCAAACAACACCGGAAATGTGTGGATGTTCCGTTTTTGCCCATCCATATTCATCCGCTTTGTCGTACCTTCTAGTGGATGACCATGGGGTTCAGCCATGATGTTCGAATCTATTTTCTCGAATATAGACAGGTCGGCAATCATTAGCCACTATACAATTTTATGCTGTTTGTTCCCTCGAGCTTCTCAAGCCCTGCGCGGTTTTCTTTTTTAATTTTGTTTGGTACTTTTTGTACCAACGCTGCAAGGCAGACAGCTTCCGGAGCAAGTCTCCCAGTGCCACAGGTCACCTTTCGGCGCAGCTTTTTCAAGTGACCTATTGGATGGCCATGTCAATTTCCCGCTGGATGATTTATCATGGAAAATCCAACCCCCGAAACATGGATGACAGCTGGGGGTTGAGTCAGTTGAGATAGTTGTTGCATCAGTTTTGACAGTTGAGGCAGGTTTTGCTTCTAAGATGTTCTTAAGACGATTGTGCTCGGGATGGTTCCAATGCTGCTGAAAAAGGTTTGGGTTGGAGAGTTACTCTAGGAACCTGTAGGAATGATCCTCTTCTCACGAATGGTACTGTATAGTCATTACTTATTTTTTGTTTGCATAACTTATACTCAGTAAATCTCACCACATGTTGAATCCAAATTTTCAATGAGAATGATGATCTACAACAGCTATATATAATCAATTTGTTATAATCTCATCTACCCTCTGGTAATTTAACATAGCTATTGAAAATCACCATTTTTAATGGGTAAATCAACTATAAATGGGCCATTTTCAATAGCTATGTTAGTTTACCAGAGGGTATACATGTAGTCATTTACAACAACTGAGATTCGACGGAGGTGCGCGGCCCCAGAAGTTGCCAGCCCCGCCTCCAGAGACGAAAGCGCAGAGTGGAAGGGGTGCAGCTCGGTGTTGGAACGTGTTGGAAACCAACTGGGTAGTTGCCATCTATTGCCGTAAAAGGGTGTATAATTATATAAGTAAGTGTCCGTAAATGTATAGATCAGCTAATGTTGGCAATTGTTTTGCAAGGTATGGACACATCAACAGTCATTAGTGGATTGGAAATACCACCACTGTACTTGATTAATTAACATTGTCATACATGTTACATTTTCAATATGTACGTATATAAGATTATATAAGTATAAAGGACATGTATTTTATGGAAATACCATGAAATACCTTCAGTGCAGATATCAGTGACATTCAAATTTGGCATACTAGTTGCGACGCACCAACGAACATATATTGACATATATCATTGATACATAATGTTTTTTTTTTTTTTAAAATATGTACTGGGATAATTCGAAGAACTGTTTGGAATTCATACATAGATTCAATTTATTTATCATTAACACGCCGTAGGATATACCAAATTCTAAGTGAAAACACCAACTGTTGGGTACGTGATTTCGGTTGATGCCCAGATGTGTTTCATATGGCTTTGTTGAATAGGGCATGCTCCGAAAATGGCATTTTAAGAGGGAGAATGATGATACAGAATTTTGGATTATTCGAGGTATCCCATTTTCTGACGACCCCTGAAGTTCAAAGTGTATGACATGTAAGATAGTGTAAGATCATGGCATTGCATTTCGAAGTCCCCTCTGGCAATCTTTCACACAGGTTGCTGAAAATAGGATCCCCAAGTTTGATATGATCTCAGCATCAAAGCCGAGGTTCCCAGTGAAGCGCCGCTGCCGCGAAGGCATTCCGATGCCCCGATCCTACGACGAGAGAACCCGCGCCTTGCCATTGTTGGGCGTGTCGTGTCTGATTCAGCGCAACGAAGATGCCACTGATACCCACAGATTATATAGATCTGTGTAGTATAGAACTCCAATGATCTCCAATTCACGGAAAAACGGAACAACTATGGAAGTGAACTGGGTAACCCTTTACTCCACGGTGCAGTCGGTGTCCACTTGGCGATCCAGGTTTGACGCGAAGACCAAGACTCGCCCGGCAGGCTGGGCATTGGGGGTAGCTATTCCAGGCAGATTCATCCACCATACGGGGCCAACCATCTGAATGACGAGAATATCAGGTGATATGAGGTTAACTATGGGATTTCAGTGTAGCCGTGTAGCCTGTTTTCAGACATGGGCCATGGGTGATGTGGTGAATGGATGTGAATAGTTTGGAATGTCTTGGGTGTTTGTGGGGACACGCGACATCAGATGCTTTAAGGGCATTCTTGGCAGTGCTGCCATGTGCTGCCAATATTCTTGGAACTGCCCTGGGAATCGTCATGTATTATCAAATCATGTTAATGAGCGAACAAGTCATCACATCCAAATATCATAGTTTACCAACAACATAGCAGTTTACTAAGTATATACAATAGCTGATCCTACAATTCATGATCTCATGGATGTTCATAGCCAATGATTTAATATCGATGATCAACCTTAACCCTTCCCCAAAGAAAATCTGATTCCAAGTCCTTGGCAGGAGAGTCGAAGGACAAAGTGCCTTTAGAGACCTTGAGACTTAAGGCCCGGCTCAAAATTTTGGATCAACCAACAATAGATGATTCAAACAAACAAAGATTATATAAGGACTAGATCCAGCAAACTTGGAAGATTTTTAGCAACCCAATCTTGGATTAGACCATGACGTATGGGGGTATCATTGAAATTCATGTATCATTGACCTATCCCATTTGAAAGACGAAAATTTGATCCCTAAAAATTGAAAACTGAAAGGGGAGATAACTGACAATTGTAATTGCTGGAGTTACACATAGCACCGCGGAAAATTTGGGGTATTTGCCGAGCGAACGTGAAGATTTACAGACCAAAAATGGGGCACTTGAAATGATGCTTAACTTCTGCAGCACTGAAAACCTACGAGGAAGGATGTAGACATCCACAGCCCAGGAAGGTTAAAGGATGTTCAAAGGATTCCGTTCGGACAGTTGGGGAGTTTTTTCGGACAGTTGAAGAGACAGAACTTGCAGTGACTCATGATATCAATGGCACATCCATGCGATGAAACACCCCCCTGGCAGGATGTGGTGACTGAAGCGGAAACTCCAACTGATCTGGACAGTCCACTCAGGAGGGTGATCCCCACTTGGTCATGTTTCGAAATAGGACATCCCATTACCCATCCAGGGCCTATCACCCAAAATTGGAGTTTAATGCAGTTTCTTACTGAAAATCATTGATTTTGTGGGTGCAGTGATAATCAGTGATACCTCAATTCTGACGCAGAGCCACATGCTGCAGTCCTGCTGCATCCAGCAAGGAGCTGCGTTCAGCCGGAGCCATCCGAACACTGTGAGGGACGGAGGTGCGCGGCAACCCATGACTTGGACACACGGATTCCAGAGATGCTAAAATCAATGGAGAAACCATCGTTTTTGGCCCCAAGTATAGGGGGGGGTTCTTGTAACATTTCCCTCAAACCAAAGCTGGGATAAGTATACGCATATATATATATAATATATATATATAATATATATATAATATATATATATATCAATAACATTTGAAGTTTTTGTTAAGCGAGCACTGAAGTGAAGAGAGATCTCTACTCAAACTCTTGTTGCGAAACAGAAATCATGCCAGAACTCTTGTGACACAGTGATGAACGCTCCAAAAAACATCTCAAGGTTTCCTAAAATGGTGATATCCCTAAATCATCCGTTGTATACATTAGGTTTTCTCATCCTAAACCATCCATTTTGGGGTAGCCCCATTTATGGAACCCCCCACTGGCCATTTCTGGGACCTGGAGACCCCCTGAGGAACGTGGCCAGAGCATGGCCGGTGAGGGTCTCAGCGGGACGGTGGATTCACCATGCTTCATCACTATTCCTTCCTGGGTCCTGTGTCCTAGGGGAAACCCTGGTTGATACCCTCTGGAAAACATACAAAAAGCTATTGAACATGGCCATAGAAATAGTGAGTTTTCCCATCAAAAATGGTGATTTTCCATAGCTACGTTAAATTACCAGAGGGTATCAACCAGGGTAAAAAAAAATCCCGGGTGGGCATTCATCCTATCCAAGATGGGTTTTCTCTCCGATGGAACTCTTCTGCAGCCTTCAAGCATCCGGAGGAAGGGTTCGATGAAAGGATCATCGTTGACATGGCATCACAGCTCGACACAACATGATCGCCTGATACATTGCTGCAGCGTCCACACAACTTGACCCGAAATATTGACAATCATACACCAGCCACTAATGTATAGTACCAACTCAAACACTGTGGCATGACCTACAACATGTTGTAGGCTGGATCCTGGTTCCTGACTCATCGCTATCCAAAATTTATCTATTTTTCTTAACACCTCAAGCTGCTAAGAGTCTTTAACCACTCAAACCACCTTGTAGTTGACCACTCTGGTTACACGAGGCCCGTTATTCGGCCCCGATCCACGTCCTTCAGATGAGTGATGCCGAAGCCGTGGATCTGTTGGAAGGCGCCTCCCAAGGTGCCCAAAACCGAGACCTCCAAAGAGGTCACCGTCACCGCGGATTCTGAGCGAAATGAGCAGCTGAAAAAGTTCCTTCAGTTCAAGGCGCTGCAAACCAAATGCCACCAACGCCAGGCGCCGAAGTGGAAACAGTGGAGTTGGGGGAAGCATTGGGAAGCAAAATCCTGTAGATACTATAGAAATGTGTAGAATATGTTGTGATATGTTGTGACTCAGTTTTGCAAATGGCAGCTTGATACTTCAGTGCCCTCTTTGGACGATAGTCACGGGGTTGATTTAATGAAGCTTATCGTGCAGGATATGCAGGATATCCTTGCATTTACCAGTCCAAATACATGCAAATATTGAGTTATAGGATGTTATTGCATAGGTTTGTTTTCGGCTATAGATTTCCTGAAAACTTACTGTAAGCATTTTTTTTTCCATATATCAAAGCAATTTCAAGATGCAGATCACTCGCTTTGCGCGGACAGCGAAGTTCTTCTGATGATTCAACCAAAGAAACCTGTGGTTCCAAAAGAGACTATCGACATTATCTGGTTGGTGGTTTCAAACATTTTTTATTGTTCCATAATATATGGGAATAATCATCCCAACTGACTAATACTGTATTTTTCAGAGGGGTTGAAACCACCAACGAGTTATAGACATGTTTGAATTGGCTGTTGGCTGCCGACTGACATTCTCCTCGCAGGAGAGTGAACTCAGTTGCCATAAATTGTCTCCATAGCATCCAACGCATGGACGTTCTAGCCGCTATGCTGTGTTTCACAAATATGACAACCTACCCTCTGGTAATTTGTTACGTAGCTATTGAAAATGGCCCATCTATAGTGGATTTACCCATTGAAAATGGTGATTTTCTATAGTTATGTAAACGTTTACCAGAGGGTAAATTACTACAATGATTTGGACATAATCTCACTATCCACTGATGCACAAAGATTCACTCAACTGGCCCAACTACTCCAATACCAAACTGGGCAAATTAGTCGGATTCGCTGCCTACCCGCACCGAAACATCCTAAGTTGCCGTTGATTCCCCTTTCGGACAACGCCCTTTTCCATTATCCATTGGTAAAATCCTCATAAACCTCACTTGGCAGCGGGTGAAATCCTCATTTCTATCCAGTTGCTTAACATTTTTCTTAAGGCTTGGACCAAAAAATAGAATAGATGACACTGTGGGTCTGGGAACTTGTGCAGAAAAATGACGAAAAAATCCATAGGGATACCCGGTTACCCCCTCTACAAGAAGAGTCATGGGCAAAAACGGGTCTCTGCAAAAAGGCTCCTGCGTTTTTTACGACCAAAAAACAATCATATTAGATCATATAAGCTACATCTGGATTCTCTACAAAAAGGCTTCTTTTTCAGGTCACAAGGTAAAATGATATATTTTAAGAATTTTATACAGAGGTCATAGGTTGGCATTTTGTAGACACTCAGTTTCTAGAAGTTAAGCCATTTTGTTGTACAGAATGCCTCGCTGTACATTTTGCTGGGGCACGACCATCATTTCCCCATAATTATCCCATTTATTTATTCCATCATTTTCCCACCATCATCCCACTATCATCCCATCATTCTCCGCCTTTTTCCCATCACCTATCATTTTAAGACACCTCTGGAGGTCTCTCTGAGGCATTCCCAGCAAAGCCTGAAAGCCACCGCAGAGCGCTGGCGCTGCGCAGAAGAGTGCCACTCTTCGCTGCGGAGAACGGGAAGCGCAGCATGCGCACCCCGAGGCGGTCTGAACGGCCAGACATGTGGAGATTTTGACCATTTTTACCCATCCTCTAGTGGCAATGGGGCTCAAACATTGGGTACCCCCAAAATGTGATCAATATTTTCACAGTGGCCAATCAAAATGTGTTTTTTTCCGGTGAAAAAACACATTGACCCATAGCCATCCGGGAAATTCTGGCAGGCCCCGTGGTTGCGTCCGAGCCGGCGGCGCCCGCGGCTGGGCTTCCACCGGGCACCTTGCCGCGCACGGCGGAGATGTGGCGGGCCGAAGCAGTGAAGCTCCGGGGCGCGCTGGAGGAGCGCAAGATGTTGAACCAATGCCTGCGCCTGGAGGTGCTGCTGGCTGGATGATGGAGATAAAATGTGGTCCTTTTTGCTGGAAACAACTCAGAAATATGGTGAAATATGGTGAAACATGGTGAAATATGATGTCAACATCTGGTAACCTATGGTGAACTATGATGTACTGTGATATTAAATTAAGATAAATTATGGTAACTTATGACATGATACTTATGGACGTATGGTGAAACATCGTCAACTGTGGCAATATTCAAAACATGGTAACTTGCATATTGTAAACAATAGTGAAATGATATGGTTTCAATATAGGGGAAACCACAAGTTAGTTCGCTTTTTTTTATTGTGTGGTGGTCAAAAGTATGGTTTTCAATATGGGACAAAATCTGTATTAGGTGGATATTCAATAATTGAACTTGACATTCCATACTTGGTGTGGGAGGTGTTACACAACTAAGATGAATGGTGCAGGAATTGGTTACACTACGAGCCTCAATCTACCAGCATCGACCAGTTGCGTTGATTATTTTGACTGGGGATAGAACGACTCTATTCAGGTGCTGGGAGTACGTACCAGCTAAACGTCACATGGAGGTGGCACAAGCAGCAAGAAGAGCACGGCTATGTGCTACAACTAGAAGTTCCAAGTCGTTCTAAATGGATTCATAAATACCTCAAACACCAGGGCTGTCTACTAGTGACGTAGGGTTGAAATGTCAGATGTTGTGATTGACAAGTGGGTTGGCAGATAGGGTATCCAAGAACACGAAGAACATTTAACATGGTTGTACGTAAGGGGATAGAATTGGTTACGAAAAAGTGCAACTCACACGATTATATATTAGGCGGAACCCAGCAGTTGTCGTGAAAGGGACATCCATTGGATCCATTCGTGGAAAGCGTGATTGATCTGTGATGGATGGGGGATGAGAATTTGGATATGGAGGGGGATGATGGTGGCGATCTTGCTAAGAATGCAGGCAAGGCGAGCTTCAAAGTGAGGGTCCGCTCTGTAGTAGATGTGCTGATATAATTGTATACTTATCAAGACTTATATACTCTTTTCAAGTTGGGCCCCTACACGAAAGGGGCCCTAAGCCCAGCTGCCTCCAATCTCTTGACGTCTCTTACAGACATCAGTCAAGGATTTGCAGAGATGTTCATGCAGTTGGTGGGTCTACCCTGGGATCTGCCTGTGAGGTAGAAACCTTGGAGCGAGCGTTTCACTCCTTGATTGAGCTGGGAGATCAGCAGATGGCAGACCTTTACTGCATCCAGGAGTGGATGTGAGATGGTTGATGGTTTTTTCATGTTTTTTCATGACCCTTCATCTAATTTTTCAATTTGGGAAGATGATCACAGACAAGAAGCAGCATTTGTTTCAGATGAATTTGTTAATTCCATCTCATTTTGAAGAAGATCCAAACTACAAGCAGGGTATACCCCAAATCCACTGGCTAATGACCATCTTCCCCACTAAATGGCTGTGAAATGCTGGTATGCCATGGTATGCCCCATTGCCAGAGCAGTTCTTCTCTTGTGATGGATGACCCCCATCATTGGCTCCGCGCGTTTCAAAGGAGCGGAACGCCAGCCTGCGCGAACAGCAGCAGGATGCCCATGCGGATTGTCGGGAGCAGCATTCCAGCTACTGGGAGACCCAGGCAGACTTTGAAACCCAGGGACGTAGATTTTGGCCATGTTCGGGAACCCGCTTTTTGGGAGCATGGTTTTCAGGGCTTATTTTTTGCTGCACTGTAGCCAATTTTGAGAGATACATAATACTTGTATGTGGGTGATGAGTGGTTTCTGAAACTGTGAAACTTTGCAAGGATATGATATGATTGGAATGACCGCTTACAGGCTAGGGCATGCTAGGGACAAGGAGTCATGTAACGCGCACAGGCACGTGCACCATTTGATGAGCTCGAAACCAGAATGCCTTGCAAAATCCTCTGCCATTTCAACTGTGTTTACCCTCTGGTAATTTAACATAGCTATTGAAAATCACCATTTTTAATGGGAAAATCCACTATTAATGGCCATTTTCAATAGCTATGTTAAATTACCAGAGGGTAAACCTTCCTATTCCATACTATTCCGGCTTTCTATCAAAGCAATCGTTTCCCACACTCAAATCAATGCCAAGCCAACTTGGAGGTTTCCTAAAGTGAGGGCACCCCCAAATCATCACCAATTAGACATAATCAGATCATTTCAGTATTGAAACCCATGGATTTGGGGATCTTCCATTTGAAAGAACCGCCAAACTTCCAAC